ACCCACTGGGGGTCTGCGGGGGGGGCGCGGGGGGGGCACAAAGGTCATGGGGGGGGGCCCGAATCTCCCCCCCCCATCAGATCCCATAGGTGTGCCCCAACCCCCCCCCCCCAAAGTGTCAAAGCCTCGCCCCCGATCCCATCAGGGTCCCCAGCCCCCCCCCAGCACGATGGAGCCTCCCAGGAGCCCCAGGCCCCCAGCCCCCCAAACCCCACAGGGCCCCCCCCCCCCCCCAAACTGCCCCCCCGTCCTGGAAGGGGCCCAAACCTCCCCCAAACCCCCCCAAAACCCACAGGGCTCCCCCAACCCCCCCCCAATCCCATAGGGGTCCCCCCCCAAACCCCCCCAAACCCCCCCCAAATCCCCAGGCCCCCAAACCCCCCCAATCCCCAAGGGTCCCCACCCCCCCCATACCCCCCCAAACCCCAGCCCCCCCCAATCCCGTCCTGGAGGGGCCCACTCCCACCCAACCCCACCCCCCAAATCCCATAGGGGTCCCCCAACCCCATCCCCCCAATCAGGGCCCCCCCAAATCCCCCCCCAAATCCCATAGGGTCAGCCCCCATCCCCATCCCACCCCCCCAATAGGCCCCCCCCCCAAATCCCAAGGCCAGCCCCCCAAACCCCAGACCCCCATCCCCCCCAAATCCCATAGCGGTCCCTCAACCCCCCCCAAACCCCCCCCAATCCCCCAGGGCCCCCCCCCCCAATCCCCACTCCCCCAACCCCCCCAACCATCCCCAAACCGCTCCCCCATCCCCCCCCAACCCCATAAAGGTTCCCCCCCCCCCCCCACCCCCCCCGCCCCCCCCCCCCCACGCACGCGTTTTGGTGAACAGATTTTTGATCTCCGCGATCGTCGCCTGGGCTCCACCTGGGGGGGGCACAACCAAACCTCCCTCAACAACCCCCCCCCCCCAAAAAAAAAAAACAACACAGGGACCTGGGGGGGGGGCATAAACCCCCTGGGGGGGAGCATAAACCCCGGGGGGGCCCTAAATTCCCCCGGGGGGGCAGGGGGGTATAAAACCCTGGGGGGGGCATAAATTCCTTGGGGAGGGGCCCTAAATTTTCCGAGGGGGGGCATAAACCCCCTGGGGGGGTTATAAACCCGGGGGGGCTAAATTCCAGGGGAGGTGGCCATAAAACCCCGGGGGGCCCTAAATTCCCCGAGGGGGGGCATAAACCCCCTGGGGGGGGGCATCATAAATTCCCTGGGGGGGGGGCATAAAACCCCCCGGGGGGCCCCTAAATTTTCCGAGGGGGGGAAAACCCCCCCCAGGGTGGGGCAGAAACCCCCTGGGGGCACCATACGCCCCCCGGGGGTGGGCATAAACCCTCTGGGGGGGGCATTAATTCCCCGGGGGGGCACATAAAACCCCCCGGGGGGGGATAACCCCGGGGGGGTGCATTAACCCCCTGGGGGGGCCGTGACCCCCCGGGGGGGGCTCACCTTGTCGAGGAAGCAGAGCTTCTCCCTGGTGCGGGCGTCCAGGATCTCCACCTCGAAGAAGAGCACGGCTTTCTTCGCCTTTTTGGCAGGGGGGGGGCCGCCCCCGCGCCGCCACCAGCAGCCCCTCCAGCCCCTCCGCCCCCTCCATGCCCCCCCGGGGATTTTCCTGACCCCCCCCTCTCCTAAGGGACTCTTCTACCCCCCCCAAGGGGCTTCCCCCCCCCCCAAGGGGACTCTTCTGCCCCCCCCAAGGGACTTTTACCCCCCCCCAATAAACTTTTTACCCCCCCCAGGGAACTTTTACCCCCCCCAAAAAATTTCTACCCCCCAAAAAAAATTTCTACCCCCCCAAAAAAAATTTCTGCCCCCCTAAAGAACTTCCCCCCCCCCCCGGAGGGATTTCCCCCCCCCTAAAGGATTTGCCCCCCCCAAAGGATTTGTCCCCCCCTAAAGGGATTCCCCCCCCCCAGGGACGCTTCGGGGCTGCCGGCGTCTCCCCCCAGGCGAAATGCGATCGGCTCAGGGGGGGCCCCGGCTAAATATAACCCCCCCCCCCCCCCCCAACCCCCCCGCGCCACCTCGGGGGGGGGCTCCTGGCCCCGCTGGCCCCGTGGTGGCCCCCCCCTGAGCGCTGGTGGCCTTTGGGGACGGGCGACGCAGGGCGGCCAAATCCCCCCCCCCCCCGTAAGGAATTGGGGCCAAAACGGGCCCCCCCCCATAGGGTGAGGGGAGGGGGGGGCTGGGGACATTGGGGGGGGAGACTTGGGGGGGGACATGGGGGGGGTCACCAGGTTGGGGACAAGCTGGGGGGGGGGGGGGGTCACTGTTCTGGGGGGGGTCACAGTGTTGGGGGGAGTCACTGTTTTTGGGGGGGGGGTCAAATTGTTGGGGGGGGGTCTCTGTTTTTGGGGGGGTCAGTTTGGGGGGGTCACATTGTTGGGGGGGTCCTGTTTTGGGGGGGTTCTCACTGCTTTGGGGGGGGTCACTGTTTTTGGGGGGGTCACATTGTTGGGGGGGTCTCTGTTTTGGGGGGGGTCACTGTTTTTTTGGGGGGGTCACAGTGTTGGGGGGGCATGCTTTGGGGTGGTCACTGTTTTGGGGGGGGTCACTGTTTTTGGGGGGGGTCACTGTTTTTGGGGGGGTCACTGTTTTTTGGGGGGGGTCTCTGTTTTTGGGGGGGTCACATTGTTGGGGGGATCCTGTTTTTGGGGGTGGCCTCTGTTTTTGGGGGGGTCCCAGTTTTGGGGGGGGTCACTGTTTTTGGGGGGGTCACTGTTTTGGGGACAGGGGGTGTCCCGGGCCCGGGGGGGGGGTCACTGTGCCGGGGGGGTCTCCCCTTGTGGCCGGGGGGGGGTCACAGCGTTGGGGACAGGGCCCCCCCCCCCCCCCCCGAGGCCTGCAGGGGCTGCCCTCAGCCGGGCCGGGCTTCGCCGGCCTCTGCGCATGCGCGCGCCCTTCCCGCCCCTCCCCCGCACTGAGCGCATGCGCACTCCCCCCCTCCCCTCTCCACTCCTCCGCGCATGCGCAGCGCTCCCTCCCCCTCCCCCCGTCACGCAGAACGCATGCGCCGCCTCGGGGCCTCGCGCATGCGCGGTGAGAACGCGGCGTCCTTCCCACGTTCCCTTCCGTTCCCCCCCCCCCCCCCGGGCCCGGCGGGGCTCGGGGCGGCGGGAGCGCGGGGAGGGGGTGGGGGGGGAAGCGGGGGGAAGCGGGGCCGGGCCCGGTGCCGGCGGCGCCGCCCTCACCTCGTAGTGCTTCATGCTGCCCGCTGCGCCGCGCTGCCGCCACGTGACCGCCCACACCCCCTCGGCGCACCTGGCGAGCGGCTCAGCCAATCAGCGCGCCTCACGTGGCGGCACGCGGCCAATCAGGGCCCGGGGATGGTAGGGGGGTGGAGGAGAGGCGGGGCTCTGTCTCCGGGGCAACGGGTAACCATAGCAACGGCGGAGCCAATGGGAAGGGAGGGCGGTGCCGGGAGCCGGCCAATGGGCGGCGCGGCGGGGGCGCGAGGGGCGGGGCCTGCAGGTGAGGGCGGGGGCGTGGCCTGCGGGGGAGGGCGTGGCCTAGAGAGGGGGCGGGGCTTACGGGGAAAGGGGCGGGGCCTTGGGGGCTGCAGGGCCCTGGGGGGCTCCGGGGGACCCTGGGGGGGGCTGGGGGGGGGTTGAGGGGAGGGGCAGGGCCTGGGGGGGGGTCCTGGGGCCGCACCCACCCCCCCTCCCCCCGCCCCCCCCCCAATGAGTCAGGGTGGGTGCGCCCCAAGGGCTGAGTCAGCCGGGCGGGTGCTGGCGCAGCACCCATGGGTGCCAAGGGGGGGGGGGGGGAGGGGGCCCTGCCCCCAGCCGGGCTCTGGGACCCCCCTGGGTCACCCCCTGGTGACAGTCGCCATGGCAACGCCTGGTGGCATTGGCGCCAGGCCCAGAGCACCTCCACGGCCTCCCGTTGCCATGGCGACACGCGGGTGCCGTTACCATGGCGACAGGCCCGTGGTGGCGGCGGGCTCTGCTCAGCCGTTGCCATGGCGACGCAGGGGGGGGGCTGTTACCATGGCGCCCTCCCAGCCAATCACCGCGGGCTCTGGTTGCCATAGCGACGCCCCGCCCCTTTCCGTGCGTGACGCCACGGCGGCGAAAGCTCCGCCCCCCCGTTACTATGACAACGGAGAAAGCCACGCCCACTGTTACCATGACAACAGAGGAAGCCCCGCCCCCGTTGCCATGCCAACGCCCCCTCCCTTCCCGCGAGCCTCCGGGATCCCCTCCCCTTTCTTCCCCACCGCGCCTGCGCGCCGCTCCCTTTTCCCCTGACGTCACGCTCCCCGCGGGCTCTGATTGGCCGGCGCCTGGGCGCGGCCGGAAGGTTCTGGAGGCGGCGGCGTCGCTCTGGAAGGTTCCGCCGGGGCCTATTTAAGCGGCGGGGCCGGGGCCGGGCCTAGGGGCCGGGTGGCGGCGGGGAGCCGGGAGCGGGGCTGCGGGGATGGGGAAGGGGAAGGATTATTACCGCACGCTGGGGCTGTCCCGGGGGGCCTCGGACGAGGAGGTGAAGCGGGCCTACCGGCGGCAGGCGCTGCGCTTCCACCCCGACAAGAACAAGGAGCCCGGCGCCGAGGAGCGCTTCAAGGAGGTGGCCGAGGCCTACGACGTCCTCAGCGACCCCAAGAAGAGGGAGATCTTCGACAAGTACGGCGAGGAGGGTGAGCCTGGGGGGGGGCGGGTTTTTTGGGGGTGGGGGGGGGTCGGTTGGAGTGTGGGGGGTGGGGGGGAGGGGCCCGGTTCTGGTGAGTTTTGGGGCGGTTTCGTTAAGTTTTGGGGGTGGGGTGCGGTAAATTATTGGGGGGGCTCCTCGGTAGGGTTTTATTTTTATTTTTCTGGGGGGTGAGGGAGATTCTGGGAAGTTTTTGGGGAGATCTCTTTAATTTGGGGGGGGATCTCTTTAATTTTGGGGAGATCTCTTTAATTTGGGAGACATCTCTTTAATTTGGAGGGTGTCCCTACTAATTTTGGGGCGAAACTGCTAAATTGGGAGGGTTCCTGTTAAGTTTTTTTTGGAGGGGGGAGAAAGATCCGGTAAAGTTTGTGGGGAGACGCCACTAAATTGAGGGAGGTCTCAGTAAGAGGTCCCTGGTAGGTTTTTTTTTTTGGGGGGGTTCTCTGTAAGGTGGGGGCTCCTAGTAAATTTTTTTTGGGGGGGGGAAGACCCCAGTAAGGGGCCAATTTTAGGGGGGCCTTGGTACGTGGGGGGAGGGGATCCAGTACATGGAGGGAAGAGAGGCCTCAGGAATTTTTGGGGGGAGGCCCCATTAAATTGGGGGGGAGAGAGACCCTGGTGTGATGGGGGGGGGGAGTCTTGGGATGTTTTGGGATGGGGGGAGGCCCTGGGGTTTTTGGGGGGGGCTGGGCCTGGGGGGGGGAGCAAGGGGGGGGGTTGTTGTAGGGGCAGGTTGTCCCTGACCCCAAAATGTCCTGTTCATGGGGGGGTCGTGGGGAAAATGGGGGTCAGGGGGGCAGTAATGGGGGGGGGGGCAGTAACGGGGGGGGTATGGGGGAGCTAGAGTGGAGGGGGGCTGTAGGGGGATAGGGTTTTGGGAAAAAGGGTGATTTTGTAGGGTTAATGATATGGGGGGGGATTATTGGGGCAAGGTACCCCGGGGGGGGGCACAGGGGCAGGCAGGCTGTGGGGTTGATTTGGGGGGACGGACACGTGGGGGTTCTGGGGACAAGGCGGGCTGGGGGGGTGAATGGGGGAATGGGGTAGTGGGGAGGGGGCAGAGTTAGTTTGGGGGGGGCATGGCAGAAATGAAATGGGACCGTGGGGGTTAGGTTGGGGGGGGGTACAGGGGGGTGACAGCCATAGGGTTCTTTTTTGGGGGGGAGGAGCAGGCTGTGAGGTTAGTTTGGGGGGGGCTACAGGGGGACAGCAGGTCATGGGGGTTGTTTTGGGGGGGAGGTTGGTTTTGGGGGGAGTACAGGGGGGGTGGCAGGCTGTGGGGTTCATTTTTTGTGGGGGGGGTACGGGGGTAGCAGACCATGGGGGTTGTTTCTGGGGGGTGGAATTTGCTTTGGGGGGGGGGTACAGGGGGGCAGCAGGTTGTGGGATTACAGGACGGGGGGGCACAGATTAAAGGCTTTTGGGGAGGTGCCCCCCCCTCTGACAACCACAACCCCCTGGGCCCCCCCAAAACACGGGGGGGGGATTCCCAGCCCCGGGCCCCCCCCCAGGGCAGCGGGGCTGGAGCTGGGCGTGGGAGGGAGCGGCGGCGTCAGGCCCCAGGGGGATGCGGGGTGCGGCGGGGGGGGGGGGGGGGGGCCGTGGGGCCGGTTTGGGGCTGGCCGGGGACAGGTCGGGGCGGCTGCCACCACCCTCAGCTAATGAGGGGGGGGGGCGGGGCGGGGGGGGCCCTTCCAAAACAGCCGCACGGCCCCAAGTGCCCCCCACCCAGTGAGACCCCCGGTGGTGGGGTAAAGGAGTCGTTCCTCCCCGTATTTCTGAGCCCCAAAAAGGCAGGAATTGAGCCCAAAAAGGCAGGAATCGAGCCCAAAACCGGAGCTGGGCGTGGGAGCGGCGCCGCGGGGCTGGGCCGTGGCGTGGGGCGCGGCGGAGCAGGAAGAACTGGCCCGGCCGTCCCGGGGGGGGGGCGGGGGGGGCACTGACAAAACCCTTACGGCTTCTCTTCCCTCCCCCCCCCAGGGCTGAAAGGCGGCGCCCCCACCTCGGGGGCTGGGGGGGGCAACGGCCCCACCTTCACCTACACGTTCCGCGGCGACCCCCACGCCATGTTCGCCGAATTTTTCGACGGCCGCAACCCCTTCGACACCTTCTTCGTGCAGCGCAACGGCGACGAGGAGATGGACGTGGACGACGCCTTCACCACCTTCCACATGGGGGGGGGCTTCGGAAACATCAGCTTCCCCCGCGGCCGGGGAGGGGGTGGCCAGGAAGGGGGTGCCGTAAGCAGGACCCCCCCGTCCTTTATGACCTGAAGGTGTCCCTGGAGGAGATTTACTCCGGCTGCACCAAAAAGATGAAAATCTCCCACAAACGCCTCAACCCCGACGGCAAAAACCGTGCGCACCGAGGACAAAATCCTCACCATCGAGGTGAAACGGGGCTGGAAGGAGGGCACCAAAATCACCTTCCCCAAAGAGGGGGACCAGACCCCCACCAACATCCCCGCCGACATCGTCTTTGTTGTAAAAGACAAGCCCCACGCCGTCTTCCGCCGCGAGGGCTCCGACATCATCTACCCGGCCAAAATCAGCCTCCGCGAGGTGGGCGGCTGCAGAGAGTGGGTTTGGGGGTTGGGGAGGGGGTTGGGTTTGGGAGTGGGTTTTGAGTCTTTTTCTCCCCCTAAACCTGGAGATCGTGATTTTTTGGGGCTTGGGGAGTGGGTTTGGGGTTTTGGGGCGGTTTTGAGCGTTTTTCTCCCCCTAAACCTGGAGATCGTATTTTTGGGTTGGGGGGGGAGGGTTTTGGGGTGGTTTTGAGCCTTTTTCTCCCCCTAAACCTGGAGATCTTGATATTTTGGGGTCGGGGAGGGTGGGGTTTTGGGGGCGTTTTTGAGCCTTTTTCTCCCCCTAAACCTGGAGATCTTGATATTTTGGGGTTGGGGATGGGTTTTGGGGCAGTTTTTGAGCCTTTTTTCCCCCTCAACCTGGAGATCTGATTTTTTGGGGTTGGGAGGGCTTTTGGGGCGTTTTTCTCCCCCTAAACTTGGAAATCGTGATATTTTGGGGTTTGGGGTTTTGGGGGTTTTTGAGCCTTTTTCTCCCCCTAAACCTGGAGATCAATTTTGGGGTTTGGGAGTGAGTTTTGAGCTTTTCTCCCCCTAAACCTGAGATCTTGATTTTTGGGGCTCTGGGGAGTGGGTTTTGGGGTGGTTTTTGAGCCTTTTTCTCCCCCTAAACCTGGAGATCGTGATATTTTGGGGTTGGGGAGGGGTTTTGGGGCGGTTTTTGAGCCTTTTTCCCCTCTCAACCTGGAGATCTTGATATTTTGGGGTCTGGGGAGTGGGTTTGGGGTGGTTTCTGAGTGGTTTTCTCCCCCTAAACCTGGAGGTCTGATTTTTTGGGGTTGGGGAGGGGTTTGGGGTTTTGGGGTGGTTTTTGAGCCTTTTTCTCCCCCTAAACCTGGAGATCGTGATTTTTTGGGGTTGGGGAGTGGGTTTTGGGGTGGCTTTTGAGCGTTTTTCCCCCCTAAACCTGGAGATCGTTATATTTTGGGGTTCGGGGAGTGGGTTTTGGGGTTTTGGGTGGCTTTTGAGCGTTTTTCTCCCCCTAAACCTGGAGATCTTGATATTTTGGGGTTGGGGATGGGTTTTGGGGTGGTTTTTGAGCCTCTTTCTCCCCCCTAAACCTGGAGATTTTGATATTTTGGGGTTGGGGAGGGGTTTTGGGGTGGGTTTTGAGCGTTTTTCTCCTCCTAAACCTGGAGATTGTTATGTTTTGGGGCTTGGGGAGTGGGTTTTGGGGCAGTTTTTGAGCATTTTTCCCCTATAAACCTAGAAATCTTGATTTTTGGGGTTGGGGAGGGTTTGGGGCCTTTTTGATCCTTTTCCCCCCCAAACCAGGCGCTGTGCGGGTGCACGGTGAACACGCCGACGCTGGACGGCCGCACCATCCCCATGGTCTTCAAGGACGTGCTGAAGCCCGGCGTCAAGCGGCGCATCCCCGGCGAGGGGCTCCCGTACCCCAAGACCCCCGAGCAGCGCGGGGACCTCATCATCGAGTTCGAGGTCCGCTTCCCCGACAGGATCCCCCCCTCCTCCAAGCCCATCCTGGAGCAGATCCTGCCCGTCTAGCGCCCGCCGCGCGGACTCGGGGGGGTGCTTTTGGGGTGGTTTTCATCTTTTCTCAAAGTTTCGGGGGGTTTCTGCCCTTTTTCTTCGAGTTTGGGGTCTCCCCGGCGGAGGGGGGGCAGTTGGTCCCCCAAAAAGAGCCCCCGGGGTGGCCAGGAGCTCACCGGGGGCCCCCCACGACCACCTCGGGGGGGTTGGGGACCTCCTCGGGGGCTCCCCCCGCCCCGGGGGGGTGACAAGGACCTCGCCGTGACTTCATCTCCATCATCTTCGTGTTTTGGGACCACATCCTGGCCCCCTCCCCGTCATTTTGGGGGGGGGCAGGGACCACGCCGTGACTTCATCTCCATCATCTCCACCTCTGGGACCACGTCCTGGCCCCCTCCCCATCATTTTGGGGGGGGCAGGAACCTCGCTGTGGTGTCACCCTGTGCCACAACCGCGTCACATCCTCACCACGGCCACCTCCGGGAGGCGGGGGCTTCCTCGTGGCCCCCTCCCCACCCCTTTTTGGGGTTGGGGACCACGCTGTGACATCCTCCCCCTCCCCTCCACCTTCTGGGACCACCTCCTGGCCCCCTCCCCATCATTTTGGGGTGACGGGGGCCACCCCCCTGTGGCCTCACCACGGGCTGGGACCTCCCTCGTGCCCCCTCCCCACCCCTGGGGGGGGGGACAGGGACCACGGGGTCACCTCCCTGAGGCCACCAGGGGTGATGGGGACCCCATTGGGACCCCCAAATACCACCTGGGGGGGGGACAGGACCCCTGCCCACCCTCATCTCCCCGGGTGCTCGCTGGGTGCAGCCCCCCCCCCCCAATTTCGGGCCCCCCGCTGTGGGGTGCTGCGGAGGCCGGGCTGGGCCTCGCCCCTCTTATCCTTTGGATAAAAACGCCCGGAAAAGGGTCTGTTCCTGCAACAGGAGCGCGCGCTGTACAGGAGTGTTATATTGTATAAGCCTTGTAAAGTTCACGGGTAATTAACAAAAATTTGTTAGAGTGTCGCTGTGTCTGGGGGGGGGGGCCCGAAATGTCATCCCTGGGGGGTTGGGGTTTGGGGGGGGTCACCAAAAATGTCCTTTTGGGGGGGGGGGGTCTCTGAAATATTCTCTCCTAGGGTGTTGGGATTTGGGGGGGGGGGCCCAAAATGCCCTTCCCTGGGGGGTTGGGATTTGGGGAGGGTCCCCAAAAATGTCTTCTCCTGGGGGGTTGGGTTTTGGGAGGGGGGTGTCTCCAAAATATTCCCTCTGGGGGATGTGGGATTTTTTTTGGGGGGGTCCCTGAAGTGTCCTCCCCTGGGGGTCTGAGATTTTGGGTGGGGGGTCCCCAAAATATCCTCTTGGGGGGAGCTGGGATTTGGGGGAGGTCCCCAAACTGTCCTCCCCTGGGGGACTGGGTTTTGGGGGGGGTCCCCAAAATATCCTCTTGGGGGGGGGGTCCTGGAATCTCCCCTCCGGGGGGGCTGAGCTTTGGGGGAGGTCCCCGAAGTGTCCTGGGGGGGGGCTGGGATTTGAGGGGGGGGTCCCAAAATGTCCTCTCCGGGCGTTTGGGATGTGGGGGGTCCCCCCTCCCCTCCCCCCCCGCTGCCCTTTGGGGGCCGCCGCCTCCTCCCTTCCCCGCCCCGCGCGGGGCATGCCGGGACTTGTAGTCCTCCCCCACCCACCCCCCCCGCCCCGCGCTTGGTACCACCGCCCGCGGGCGGGGCCGGGCGGGGCTGGGCGCGACCATTCCCGAGAAGCGGGGGTGGGTGGGGAACCCTCCTCAGCTTCCCCCCCGCCGCTCTCCCATTGGCCGGCCGAGCTGGGGCGCGGCGCTGATTGGACGCGCGAGGCGTTGGGTCCCGCCCCCAGCCCGCCCCTCCCTTCCGGCGGGGCCTGGGCCCGGCAGCGCCCGGCTGGAGTTGGAGGAGCGGTGAGGGGGGGGGGCGGCACCGGCCGGGGGGGGGGAACCGGGGCCGGGGGGGGCGGAATTGGGACGGGGGGGCCTGGACCGGGCCTGGGGGGGGCGGCGGGACCCGGCCCGGGGCTGTTTGGGGGGGTCCCGGCCCCCCCCCCGCCGGTACCAGGCATTGGGGGGGGCTGAGGGGAGTGGGGAGGGGGCCCTGAGGTGGGGGGGGGTCTGGAGGGGGGATCCGGGCCTGGGGCTGCGCGGGGGGGTCCTGGGGTGTTCCCCCCCCCCATTGCCTCTGTTTGGGGGGGCTGGGAGGGTCCCTGGGGGGGTTGGGGGGGGTCGCTGAGGGGCTGGGGGGGGGGCTGAAGGGTCGTGGGGGAGGGCTTGGGGGGGGCTGAGGGCTCGGGGGGGGGCTGAGGGGGTGTGGGGGGGTCAGGGGGGTTTGGGGGGGGACTTTAAGGGAGGTTTGGGGGTGGTCTGGGGGGCTGTGGGGGGGCTCAGGGATTTTGGGGGGCTGTGGGGGGGGGGCTGAGGGGTCTGGGGGGGGTCTGGGGGGGTCCCATGGCAGTGGAGGGGGTTTGGGGGGGTCTCAGGGGTCTGGGGATGTCCCTGGGGGGGCGTCTGAGGGATCTGGGGGGGTCCCAGGGAGGGTCTGGGGGGGGTCTGAGCAGTCTGGGGGGGGTTTTGGGGGAGGGGGGGGTTCTGTGTGCCCCCCCCAGCCCCATTTCTCATTTCCCCCCCCCTCCTTGCAGCCCCGCCGCCAGCAGCCTCCGGGAGGGGGCTACCCCGGAGCCCCCCCCCCCATCACCCACCAAACCCCCCGGCGACCCCACGACCCCCCCCTCCCCCTTTTAATCCCCCCCCCCAAATGCCGCTGGGCCTGGGCCGCCGCAAGAAGCCCCCCCCGCTGGTGGAGAACGAGGAGGCGGCGGGGGGCCGGGGGGGGACCCCGGCGGAAACCCACGGCGGGGGGGGAGAAGGAGGAGGAGGAGGAGGAGGGGGAGTTGGAGGGGGAGGGGGTGGGGGTGGGGGGCTGGGGGTGACCCCCCCGGGGCTGCCGCCGCCCCCCCCGGCCCTGCGGCCCCGCCTGGTGTTCCACACGCAGCTGGCACACGGCAGCCCCACCGGGCGCATCGAGGGCTTCAGCAACGTGCGGGAGCTCTACGGGAAGATCGCCGAGGCCTTCCGCATCCCCCCCGGAGAGGTGGGGGCGGGGGGGGCACCCATGGGTGCTGGGGGGGGGGTGGGGGGGATGTTAGGGATGAGGGCGCCCCTGGGTGCTGCGGGGCAGGGGGGTTGGGGGATTGTTGGGGATAGGGGCACCCTTGGGTGCTGCGGGGCAGAGAGATTGGGGGGGTTGTTGGGGACAAGGGCACCCATGGGTGCTGCCCTGGGGGGTGTTGGGGAAAAGGGCGCCCCTGGGTGCTGCGGGGTTGGGGGGGGTTGGGGGGTTGTTGGGGAGAAGGGCACCCATGGGTGCTGCCGGGGGGTGTTGGGGATGAGGACACCCTTGGGTGCTAAGGGGTTGGGGGGGGTGTTGGGGATGAGGGCACCTTTGGGTGCTGCAGGGCAGGGGGGCTGGGGGGTTGTCGGGGACAGGGGCACCCCTGGGTGCTGAGGGGTTTGGGGGGGTGTCAGGGATGAGGGTACCTCTGGGGGCTAGGGGATTGGCAGGACAAGGGCACCCTTGGGTGCTGTGGGATAGGGGGGTGTTAGGGACGAGGGCACCCTTGGGTGCTGCCGGGGGGTGGGGGGGGTGTCGGGGATGACGGCACCCTTGGGTGCTGGGGGGCTGGAGGAGGTACATGGGGAAGGGGGAAAGGCACCCATGGGTGCTGTGGGGGTGGGGGTGGGGTGTTGGGGACAGGGGCACCCTTGGGTGCTGAGGGGTTGGGGGGCGGTGTTGGGGATGAGGGCACCCATGGGTGCTGTGGGGGTGGGGGGGGGTTGTCAGGGACAGGGGCACCCCTGGGTGCTGTGGGGTGGGGTCTTGTTAGGGGTGAGGGCACCTTTGGGTGCTGTTGGGGGGGGTGTTATGGGCAAAGGGGGTTTTTGGGGGGGTGTCAGGGATGAGGGCACCCTTGGGTGCTGGGGAGGGTTTGGGGATGGGGTGGGCACCCTGTGGGTGTCCGGGGGGGGGGGCAGGGCTGGGACAGCAGCGGGGGGGTCTCAGTGGGGAGTGGGGATCCCTGGGGTGCGGGACGGCACCGGGGGGATTGGGGGGGGGTCTGTGGGTGTGGGGGGGTCTGGGGGTGTGGGGGGGTGTGGGTGTGGGGGGGTGTCTGTGGGTGTGTGTGGGGGCGGGGGGGTCACCGCGCCGCCCCCCCCCAGGTGATGTTCTGGGGGTGTGGGGGGGGTCTGTGTGTGTGTGTGGGGGGGGGTGTCTGACCGCGCCCCCCCCCCAGGTGATGTTCTGTGTGTGTGCGGGTGGGGGGTCTGTGTGTCTGTGTGTGTGTGGGTGGGGGCTCACCACGTGCCCCCCCCAGGTGATGTTCTGTGTGTCTGTGGGTGGGGGCTCACTGCGTCCCCCCCCCAGGTGATGTTCTGCACGCTGAACACGCACAAGGTGGACATGGAGAAGCTGCTGGGGGGGCAGATCGGGCTGGAGGATTTCATCTTCGCGCACACCAAGGGGCAGCGCAAGGAGGTCGAGGTGCTCAAGTCCGAGGAGGCGCTGGGGCTCACCATCACCGACAACGGCGCCGGATACGCCTTCATCAAGGTGGGGGCGCCCCCGGGACCCCCCAAGGGGGATGGGACCCCCCCGTGGGGATGGGACCCCCCCCCAAAGGGATGGGACCCCCCCCAGGGCACCTCCGTGGGGACAGGATCCCCCTAAGCCACACGGGGACGGGGCTGAGGGGGTGTGGGGATGGCCCCGAGGGTTTCGGGGGGGGGTTCTGAATGGGGGGACCCCCCCACAAAGATGGGGACCCCCCCGGGACCCCCATAGGGACAGGAACCCCCTCGAGGGGACAGGACCCCCCTGGGGGGGTGGGGTAGGGGGCACTGGGGACAGCCCTGAGTGTTAGGGGGGGACACGGGGGTGTCCCTTGGTGCTGCGGGGGGACCCCAAAATCCCCCTGGGGCCCTGTCGGGACTCGAGGGGACCCCAAACCCCAGCTGGGGTCACACAGGGGGACCCCAAAAGCCCCCTCAGGACCCCAAAACCCACCCTCAGGACACACGGGGGGACCCCAAAACCCCTCAGGCCCCATCTGGGCACAAGGGGGGACCCCAAAGCCCCATGCGGGACCCCAAAACCCCCCTTGGACCACACGGGGGGACCCCAAAACCCCCTTTGGGCCCCATCTGGGCACATGGGGGGAACCCAAAACCTCTCTTGGGATCCCAAAACTCATTTTCGGACACACAGGGGTACCCCTAAAACTCCCCTCGGGACCCCAAAATCTCCCTCAAGCCCCATCTGGACACACGGGGTGACCCCCAAATCTCTTTTGGGATCCCCAACCCCCCCCTTGGGCCACACTGGGGGACCCCCAAAAGTCCCCTTGGGACCCCAAAACCCCCCTCAGGTCACAAGAGAGGACCCCAAAAGTCCCCTTGGGACCCCAAAACCCCCCTCAGGTCACAAGACGGGACCCCAAAAGCTCCCTTGGGACCCCAAAACCCCTCTCAGGACACATGAGGGGACCCCAAAACCCCCCTCAGGTCACAAGAGAGGACCCCAAAAGCCCCCTTGGGACCCCAAAACCCCCCTCAGGTCACAAGACGGGACCCCAAAAGCTCCCTTGGGACCCCAAAACCCCTCTCAGGACACATGGGGGGACCCCCAAAAGACCCCTGGGGACCCCAAAACTCCCCTCAGGTCACAAGAGAGGACCCCAAAAGCCCCCTTGGGACCCCAAAACCCCCCTCAGGACACATGAGGGGACCCCAAACCCCCCTTGGGCCACACGGGGGGACCCCAAAACCCTCTCGGACCCCCTCTGGACACACAGGGTCACCCCAAAACCCCCTCGAGCTCCACCTGGGGGGTTGCGGGGCCAGACCCCGGTGTTTGGGGGGGGGTCTCAGCCACTCTCTCCCCCCCCCCCCCAGCGCATCAAGGAGGGCAGCGTGATCGACCGCATCCCGGTGATCGGGGTCGGGGACATGATCGAGGCCATCGACGGGCGCAGCCTGGTGGGCGCGCGGCACTTCGAGGTGGCCAAGCTGCTGAAGGAGCTCCCCAAGGGGCGCCCCTTCGCCCTGCGCCTCACCGAGCCCCGAAAAGCCTTCGGTGAGCCCCCTACTGGGAGCACTGGGAGCCCCGCCACACAAGGCGGAAGGGGGCCCTGCCCCGTGGGTTTGGGGTGAGGGGGTGGGGATGGGGCTGAGCTGAAATTGGAGGGGGGCTGTAGCACCCAGGGGACCCCAAAACTCAGGTAGGGGATTACAGAGGGTTAGGTAGCACCCAGGGGACCCCAAAACTCAAAGGGAGTCTTGTAGAAGGCTCAGTAACCCCCAAGGGACCCCAAAACCTAAGGGTGGTCTTATGGAGGGCTTCATGATACCCAGGGGACCCCAAAACTCAGGGGGGGGGGGCTTATAGAGGGTTACATAACACCCAGGGGACCCCAAAACTCAGGTAGGGGCTTACAGAGGGTTATACAGCACCCAGGGGACCCCAAAACTCAAAGGGGTCTTGTAGAGGGTTATATAGCACCCAGGGACCCCAAAACCTAAGGGTGGTCTTATGGAGGGCTTGATAGCACCCAGAGGACCCCAAAACTCAGGGGGGGTCTTGTAGAGGGTTACAAAGCACCCAAGGGGCGCCCCTTCGCCCTGCGCCTCACCGAGCCCCGAAAAGCCTTCGGTGAGCCCCCTACTGGGAGCACTGGGAGCACTGGGAGCACTGGGAGCCCCGCCACGCAGGGCGGAAGGGGCTTGGGGTGAGGGGACAGCTCCGGGGTGGGTTTGGGGAAGGAAGGTGCTGGGGGTGCTGCAGGTGGGGATGGGGCTGAGCTGAAGTTGGAGGGGGGCTGTAGCACTCAGGGGACCCCAAAACTCAAAGGGGTCTTGTGGAGGGCTCTGTAGCACCCAGAGGATCCCAAAACCCCAGAGGGGGGCTTTTAGAGGGTTACATAGCACTCAGGGGACCCCAAAACCTAAGGGTGGTCTTATGGAGGGCTTCATAATACCCAGGGGACCCCAAAACTCAGGGGGGGGCTTATAGAGGGTTACATAACACCCAGGGGACCCCAAAACTCAGGTAGGGGCTTACAGAGGGTTATACAGCACCCAGGGGACCCCAAAACTCAAAGGGGTCTTGTAGAGGGTTATATAGCACCCAGGGACCCCAAAACCTAAGGGTGGTCTTATGGAGAGCTTGATAGCACCCAGAACCCAAGAGGGGGGCTTTTATAGGGTTACATAGCACCCAGGGGACCCCAAAACTTGGGGGGGGGGTCTTATAAAGGGTTACATAGCACCCAGGGAACCCCAAAACTCAAAGAGGAGCTTACAGAGGGTTACATAGCCCCCAAGGGACCCCAAAGCCATGAGGGGGGAACCCCAAAACCCTAAGGGGGGTCTTATAGAGGATTACACGGCACCCAGGGGACCCCAAAACCCTAAGGGGGGACCCCAAAACCCTAAAGGGGGCCAACGAAGGGACCCCACAAACCCATCAGGAGCCGATCGGGGCAGGTCGTGGCCCCCCAAAACCCAAACTGCCGGGGGTCCTCTAACTCGGGGTGTCACGGGGGACCCCCAAATCCTAACGAGGGGCACCCCGACCTTTTGGGGCCCCCCCTTTTTTTCTTTCCCCCCCAATTTTCAGACATGATCAGCCAGCGAGCGTCGGGGGGCAGAGGCGGCGGCACCCAGCTGGGCACCGGCCGGGGCACCCTGCGGCTGCGTGCACGGGGTCCCGCCACCGTGGAGGAGCAGGTGGGCCACCCTAGGGTGCTTTTTTGGGGTGGGGGGGAACCCACAGCATCCCAATAATTCCCCCTGTCCCCCCCCCATTTCCCACGCAGCCCTCAGCCTTCGAGGAGCGAGCCATCGCCAAGGTGGACGACCTGCTGGAGAGCTACATGGGCATCCGCGACACCGAGCTGGGTGAGCCGGCACCCAAGGGTGCTGGGGGGGTGGGGGGGGTGGGGGGGGCACCCAGGGGTGTGCCCGCACCTGGGGAGGCCACACAGAGGTGCTGGGGGGGCACCCGGGGGTGACGAGGGGGGCACCAAGGATACGGGGCCGCACGTGGGGCGCTCCCCCCTTGGGCTGGGCTGTCCTGGGTGTCCCATGGGTGCCCCCGGGGGGGGCCTTTGGGTGCCCTGGGGGTGTCCCTCGGGTGTCTCCTGACCCCCCCCGTGTCCCCGCAGCCGCCACCATGGTGGAGCTGGGCCGGGACGCCCGCGACCCCGACGCGCTGGCGCAGGCGCTGGACTCGCAGCTCGGCGACTTCGCCTTCCCCGACGAGTTCGTCTTCGACGTCTGGGGGGCCATCGGCGACGCCAAGGTGGGGCGCTGCTGAGGGGGGGCTCCCCCCCCCCCAAAAAAAAAAAAAAAAAAAAAAAACAACAAAAAACCCCCCCACCGGAACCTTGGAACTGCGCCACCCCCGCTCTGCTCCCCCCACTTCTCTTCTCTGGGACCCTCCCGAAGGACCTGGGTGCCCCCACCCCAATTCCCAACCTGCCCCCCCCCCACTTTTTAACCAGGATCCCCCCCCCGCACACACACACCTGGAATCTTCACTACACGCTGGGACCCCCCCTGCTGGACCTGGGTGCCCCCCCCTCAATAATATCCCCTCCACCATGGGCTTGAGGACCCCCCCCCCAAATAGGTTTGGGCCCCCCCAGTCCTGAATAGCGACCCCCCCCCCCCAATAGCCTGGGACCTTCACATGGGGCTTGGGTGCCCCCACTTTCAATGGGACCTCCCCCAGGTAGCCTGGGACCCCCCCCAAGTGGCCTTGAACCCCCCCCCAAATGGTCTGGGACCCCCCCGGGAGCCTGGAGCCCCCCCCAAGCTGTCCAGGGACGTAAAACACTACCCCCCTCCCTTTAGTTTGCCCCCCCCCCTCCTTAACCACTACAAGGGGATTTTCCAGCCCCCCCCCCTCATCTTGGGGGGCATCCCTCAGTGGTGCCCCCCCCCAAGACACTGGTGTGCCCCCACCCCCCCCCAGGGTGAGCAATGAGGGTCCAGCCTCACCCCCCCTCCCCCCCAAAAGGGTTTTTATTTGGTGGGGGGGGCTGCAGACCGGAGCCACCCTGTGTTCCCCACCCCCCCCCAGTCAGGGTCTGTCTGTTCTGGTGCCAATCTGAGCCTGTCACACACTGTCCCCCCCCCAAAAAGCGCTGTCCCCCCCTCACCATGCTGTTCCCCCCCCCCCGAAAGCACTGTGCCCCCCCCCCGGACACCCGGGTCTGCCCGTGTCCCCCCCCCCATCGCACTGACTACCTCGGGGGGGGGTGGGGGGGGGCAGCACAACCCCCCCCCCCCTTGGTGGCTCTGTCCCCTGGAGGGGGCTGTGGGGGGGTGGGGGGGGGCGCTCACTGTGTCCCCTGGAGCTTTGGGGGGGGGTCATGGCCCCCCCCGGGGCCTATTTTTGTATTTTACATGTAAAGTGACTTTAACATAAAATAGGGAGAAATTGGGAGTGGTCGGTGCTTGTGAGTTTTTTTGGGGGGGGGACGGGACGACGTCTGGGGGGGGCATTTTGGGGATGATGGGGGACATTTGGGGGGGGCATGGGGATGTTTTGGGGGGGACATGGGGACATTGGGGGAGGGTATGGGGGGGGCTCTGCTTGAGCCTGGCTGTGCTGGGCAGGGACCTGGGGGGTTCTTGGGAGGGGGGGAGGCAGGGTGGAAGGGTCAGGGTTGGGGTCAGGGTTACATTTGGGGTCAGGGTCGTATTTGGGGTCAGGGTTGGGGTCAGGGTCGCATTTGGGGTCAGGGTTGGGGTCAGGGTTGGGGTCAGGGTCACATTTGGGGTCAGGGTTGGGGTCAGGGTCGCATTTGGGGTCAGGGTTGGGGTCAGGGTCATCCAGGTTTGGCTTGAAGCTGGTTTTGGGGCGTAGGGCCCTGTTTATGGGGTTCCGGCTTCTGGCTCCGGGTTTTCTCTCTTTGGGGTAGGGCTGGCTTTTGGGCGTGATTTGGGAACGGGGATGGGGCTTGGGTTGGCTTTTGGGGCCGGTTTCCTTCCCTCACTGTTCCCAATCCTTTTCCCGCGGCTGGAGTTGGGCTTTTGGGGTTGAAATGGGCTCTGATGGGAGCTCGAAGCTTTGAGCCAGGCGAATTGTCCCAAACCGCCCTGAATTCAGGCCGAGCTTCTGGAAAATCTCAAAAAAAAAAAAAAAAAAAAGTGGTGGGGAAGAGGGGAGAGCTTGTTCTTTTCCCAAATCCCCGGATTTCGACGTCGAGCCGCCCCCTGCCCTGGGCAGCACCTCTGGAGGAGCTCTGCTTCTGTCATTTCCGCGAGAAAAATAGCAATCAGCCTAAATACCCAATTTTGCAAAGTCTGAGACTCCGTCGGTCCCTTGGGGGAATCTTTGGTGGGCGACGCCAAGGTCCCAATGGGATCGAGGGGGCTGTGGGGGGGGGGGGAACCCTCGGCCATTTGAGCCCAGGCTGCGGAAGGAGCGGGGAAGGGCTGAGGAGTCCCTGAGTAAGCCGGGGGTGGTGGCGACCTCGAAGAAAGAAGATATTTGGAGCAGAAACAGGGCCAGGATTTAGGGGCAGCACAGGAACGGATGTTTAGGGGGGGGGAGAGAGCGTCAAAATAAGGCTGGAAGCGAGTTTGGGAGAAGTGCTTTTGGTGAGCAGGGAGCTTTTTGGGGGAACTCAGGCACTGGCAAACCCCTGAATTACAAAATTACAGAATCCCAGAATAATTAGGGTTGGAAAAGCCCCCCCGGGATCCTCTGGTCCTAAACCACGTCCCCAGACACCACGTCCAAGCTGCATTTGGAAGCAGAGCCCAGCGGGAGACATTGGCAAAGCCAGGGAGATGGGGAAAAAAAAACAAAAAAACAAAAAAAACGTGAGGCTGGGGAGAGGGGAGGATCGGTGGGGAGGTGGCAAAGGCCCCGGAGGGACACCTTCATTTGGGGTGGCCGCCGGTGGGACCCGTTAAGAGTTTCGGAAACCTCCGAGTTTGCTTCTGACTTCGACCCCCGGAGAGTTCTCTTCAGCATCTGCAGAAATGCGCCAGGGCACTCGTTAAAACAGAAGTCCTAATTAGCCATGACGCTGGCCATAATTGTCCTCAAGTCTTGTCTTACCAGCCACCCAGGATTCAGATCCCAAATCTTTCTATTTTCTACTGTGGCCTGTAGCTGGGTGTTAGAGCTCCTTTGCCTCATTTTTTCCCTTTTTTTTTTTTTTTTTTTTTGACATTTTGCCACATGCGTCCAGCCCCCACTGTGACAAAAAAGCAGTTTTTGTGTCAGGCCCGGCACCCCCTTGAGCACTCACTGCACGGCATTGTGCATGCTAATCCTCGCTCTGCCCCAATTTTTTAATCCCCGGGGGATTGGGGACGACGTTAAACAGCACTGGCCCCAGTGTTGATCACTGGCGGATAAACGAGCACCAAAATAACCACGGGACGTGGTGCTGCTGAAAGCATTTGGGCATGAGGGTGCCGGCAATTTCCCACATACTCTATCAATCTATCTATCTAATCTATTTAATCTATTTATATTTATCTTAATACCCTCGATCCGGTCCCTGTCTCACTGATTTGCTGAGAAATAAACCCTGGGAGGTGGTGGCAGATGTCTTGCTATGGTCAAGGTGCACAACATCCGCCCCCCTTGTGCACATTGTGTCACAGCTCGCAGTTAGGAGTTCCCTTCCTGCATCTAATTAGATCATCTAATTGTTGGAATTGGATGATATTCGAGGTCTCGTAACACAAACCATGATTTTATGATTCTAGAGCCCCCCGCCAAGGGCAGGGACACCTTCCCCTAGGCCCGGCTGCCCCCAGCCCCATCCAGCTTGGCCTTGGGCTCCTCTGGGCAGCACCTCAGTGCCTCAGCACCCTCATAAGAAATTATTTCTCCCTCAAATTTAATCTAAATCTGCCCTGTTTTAGTTTAAAACCCTTATTCCTTGTCCTACCACTACTCTCCCTGACAGAGTCCCTCTCCAGCCTTCCCGTAGCCCCCCTTGAGGAGAAGGCCGCCATCAGGCGCCCCCAGCGTCTCCTCCAGAAATCACCGATCCCGTCCCAATTCAGCAGGTGTCTTTAGTTTCTGCTTTTCCCTTTCATGCTTGTCTGGAAGATGGGAACAACATCTCTGTTTTGCAGACTCGAGGAACCTCCTCGGTCGCTGGTCTTTCCACGATGGCCGAGGGCGCTGAGGGCCCGCAGGCCTCGATGGCCTCCACAGCCTCACCCGGGGCTTCCACCCACCCCAGTCCCCGCCTGTGGGTCCCGTTTAAGCTGGCTTTGGGGCTTCCAGTCCTCGACGGGTGTATTTTGTAGAGGAGCTGGTTTCTAGCCATGGCCACGCTCATGGCTCCTGCCCGCAGGCTGACTTGCCAGCCTTGGCCATCGTGGGGCCTGGTGTGGGCCTAAAGATTGACGTTTTGGGCCCAGAGCTGCCTGCTGACCTGGGCTGTTGGTTGAGCCTGGCTTCTGTCCCCAGTTCTGCCCTGCTCACCTCACTCGGGCACCGTGGGGCTTGGTCTTGGCCAGGGAGGCTACTGTGCTGTCGGCCGCTTTGCCCCCCTTGGCTCCCATCCCTTGGGGAAGAGACGGCCCTCCTCACTCCCTCACAGCTTACACAGCCAGGGGAGACGTGTCATGTTGTCATTCTGGCTTTTATTTTGTTTCACTAAACTTCCAGTGGTCTCCTTTGCAGTCTGTGATTAGAACCCCGTAACAGATTTGAATGGGATTGAAGCCTCTGGAAAATCCCCCTGCCTTTGGCTTGTGCCACAGCTCTGAGCAGAACTGTGAGAGAAACCGGAGCCTTGGCTCCTCGGTGTTGGGAAGGTGCTGCCAAAGCAGAAAATGGTGAATGTGTACATGGATGTGGAAGGTTCATCACCCCTCGTCGAGCACCAGCAACCTTTGCTGACAGCGCCTGCACCAGAGGTTGAACCCAGGTTGTCCTAGTCTGTCTTGAGAAGTTCTGCCTCACCTTCTGGAGGGGGGGCATGGGTGGTATTTGGGTTTTCTATGCCTCTGTGGAGCACAAGTCCTGTGAGGAGCGGCTGAGGGCACTGGGGTTGTTCAGTCTGGAGAAGGGGAGGCTCAGGGCAGAGCTCCTTGCTCTCTACAACTCCGTGCAAGGAAGCTGTGGGGAGCTGGGGAGTCGGTCTTCTCTCACAGGTAGCCAGTGATAGGACACAGAATCACACAGAATCACACAGAATCTCTAGGTTGGAAGAGACCTCAAGATCATCGAGTCCAACCTCTAACCTAACACTAACAGTCCCCACTAAACCATATCCCTAAGCTCCACATCTAAACGTCTTTTGAAGACTTCCAGGGATGGTGACTCCACCACCTCCCTGGGCAGCCTGTTCCAGTGCCTAACAACCCTTTCAGTAAAGAAGTTCTTCCTAACATCTAACCTAAAACTCCCCTGGCGCAACTTTAGCCCATTCCCCCTCGTCCTGTCACCAGGCACGTGGGAGAACAGGCCAACCCCCACCTCGCTACAGCCTCCTTTAAGGTATATGTAGAGAGCAATAAGGTCGCCCCTGATCCTCCTCTTCTCCAGGCTGAACAAGCCCAGCTCCTTCAGCTGCTCCTTGTAGGACTTGTTCTCCAGGCCCCTCACCAGCTTCATCGCCCTTCTTTGGACCCGCTCAAGCACCTCGATGTCCTTCTTGTAGCGAGGGGCCCAAAACTGAACACAGTGACCAGAGGGAATGGCCTCAAGTTGTGCCAGGGGACGTTCCGGTGGGAAATGAGGAGACATTTCTTCTCAGAAAGAGCAGTCAGTCGTAGGGACGGGTTGCCCAGGGAGGTGGTGGAGTCACTGTCCCTGGGGGTGTTCAAGGAGAGCTTGGACGTGGTGCTTGGGGACATGGTTTAGTGGGTGACATTGGTGGTAGGGGGACGGTTGGACCGTGGGTCTCGGAGGACTTTTCCAACCCTAATAATTCCATGATCCTATAGGCACTGCCAGTCATATGGTAAGGGGGAAGCCTCTCCTAGCCACCGCTTTGTTTAAAAAAAAAAAAAAAAAGTCTGTATGTCCTCCTGAGACTATCTGCAGTCACTGGGTGCCTTCTGCACTGCTCAGCGATGTTTCCTCCCTTCAGATCTCAAGGAAAAACATTTTTTTTTTTTAAATTTATTTTTGAAGTGTTTGAGGATTCTGTCCAGAACAAATGCATGGCTTTCCTCTGGGGGCTGATGGAATGGAAAGAAAAACCAAAACTAAACTAAAACAAAAACAAACAACAAAGCCAAACAACTTGCCAAACCCCAGTGGAGCACTGCATTTACCAGCTCCTCCTGGGAAAATGGCAGCTGCCTCCCTCGTTCGTGACAACACCCGTAATACCGTGGCAAAATGGGGCCAAGAGGGAATCTTGTGGAAAACCTGTTCCTCCATAAAATCCAGCACATTTTACTCTGCTGTAAATTCACGATGAGGAGACACTTCTGCTCCTCCAAGTATCGCTGCTGCGTCGCTCTGGAAAGTCCCTTGCAGTCCCTTACAAAACAGCTCCATCTACTTGCAGCATCGTTTTATTATTCCATTTATTTATTTCTTATCAACCTTGTTGTGACTGGGGGCTCCCAGGCCTCCAGAGGCCATCAGGAGAAAGGAGGGCGCTCACCATGGCCAGGAGTGGCTGGAGGAGATGTGGGGAAAGGCAGAGCATGAAAGGAAGAAGCAAGCATTGGGCACACCCGAGAAACCCGTGAGGGAATGCACCAGCATCTTCTGACTCGTGGCAGCGGAAAGACCGGGGCACACCGCACCTCCTGGTGCCCCTCTGCACCCCGAAGCGATGCCCAAAGCTCTCCTAAGTCCTTAAGCGTTTTCAGAGAGACTTTTCAGCCTCTTCTGCTGCCCGGCCAGCCAGGAGGCTGTGGGTACACAAGAAGCTGCGAGGAGACACAGCAGAGCCAACCTGGCCAAAGGGATATCCCACGCCACGGGACGTCATTGTCATTATTCCTTCGTTTTCTGTCCTATTGAATGGTCTTTATCTCAACCCACAATTTTTTAGCTTTGCTTTTTTAGCACCTAAGCGTGACTCTGGGTTAAGCCACAAGCTTTTAGCTCCGTTTTTTATCACCTAAGTGAGATACTTGGGTTACTCGGGGTTAAACCACCCCAGTTGCCAAGAGTATTGGCATCCTAAATCCCAACGCAGTGCAGTCGCAGCCAGCAGTAAGAGAAGTCACCCTATCCCAGCCAAAGGGTCAGGCAGGGGACGGTATTCCTGACATCCAGTCACTGTCTTTCACTTTCTATTATTTTTCCTCCCCGTGATTTCCCAGAACTGGAGGAGAAGGGCTGGACCAAGGCAGGGAATATAAGGCAGCGCCCCAGGTGTTGCAGAGCTGCTGCAGCCCCGGGAAGCTGAAGGTGAGTCCCGTCCCCATCCCTCATCCCCAGCCCCACGCAGGCAGCTATGGGCAGGGGGCACAGGAAAGGGATCCCACGGACCCCAGCGAGCCGAAGAGCTCCCTGCCGGGGGGAGGACAGAGAGGTGCGGTTGGCTCCATCTTTGCTCCGAAAGGGGGCAGAATTGTCCCCCCAAGACCATCCCTGGTGGCCGCGAGATAACGGGGAGCAGTGAGTACCGGTGTCCCGAGGGTCCAAGTTCTTGGGACTGTGTCGGGACCAGGCTCAGATGCAGAGCAAAAGGCTGCTGGGAGTGGCACAGATGCGTTTTTGTGCCAGCTGTGGCACTTACCTCTGGGTTTGGAGCTCCTAGCTGTCGCGTGTGGCTGGAGAAGAGCTAGAAAAAAAAGGTTGGGGCCGTGAGGGGCCCCTGGCAGTGGGGTTAGGGCAGGACCCGGTCGTTTTTGTCGGGCTGCAGATCCGTCATCCTTCCCCGGCACGGCTGGGGACCCTGGTGGTGAGCTACATGGAGGCCAACTGGAGCGGGGCTGTGCCGTGCCTGGAGAGCGCGGTGCTGGAGCTGACAGAGATCAAAAACTCACCGGCACTGAAGGAGGCCGTGGACTTGTACAAGCGTCAGATGGAGCAGGAGCTGCCCACGGAGACCACCCAGGATCTGCTAGAGCTGCACACATGGTATGAGGAGCAGGCGATGCGGCTCTTAATGGAGCAGGCCTCCGAGGAGAGCAGGGAGCAGTTCCGGGCAGAGCTCAAGGTAGGTGATCCCCCCCGGGGACACCGTCACCCCTAGCCTGGGGGGAGCAGTGTAGTCCCTGCTGGCCAGGCCAGTGCCGTGCCCTCTAATCATAGAAACATTAGGGTAGGAGAAGACCTCCAGGGTCATCTGGTCCATCCGTCCCCCTACCACCGATGTCACCCACTGAACCACGTCCCCAAGCAGCACGTCCAACATTTCTTGATGTCCTTCTGGTAGTGAGGGGCCCACAGCTGAACCCAGCACTTGCGGTGCAGGACCAGGGGACGATCACCTCCCTGGTCCTGCTGGCCGCACTATCCCCGAGGCAAGCCAGGATGCCGTTGGCCTTCTTGGCCCCGGGGGCACACTGCTGGCTCATTTTCAGGCGAGCATCCACCAACACCCCCAATCCTTTTCCTCTGCAGAGCTTGCCAGCCACTCTGCCCCCAAACCTGTAGTGTCTCTGCCCCCAAACCCGTAGCCTTGCATGGGGTTGTTGTGACCCAAGTGCAGGACGTGGCACTTGGCCTTGTTGAACCTCATCCCATGGGCCTCTGCCCATCGATCCAACCTGCCCAGGTCCCCCTGCAGGGCCTTCCTATCCTCCAGCAGATCGACACTTCCCCCAGCTTGGTGTCACCTGCAAACTGACTCAATTCCCTCATCCAAGCCTTCCACGGAGATATTAACGAGGATGGGCCCAACACCGACCCCTGGGGAACACCACTGGTGACCGCTCACCAGCTGCATGGTCATACATCAAGACCTGCTCCGTCCCCTTCCCTGGCACCGAGGTCAGGCTGACAGGCCTGTAGGTCCCCGGGTCCTCCTTACCACCCTTTTTATAGACGGGGGTCCCGTTAGCAAGTCTCCACGGCCCTCCCCAGATGACCATGACCAGTGACAGATAATGGAAAGCAGCCCAGCAATCCCACCGCCAGCTCCCTCAGCATCCTCGGGTGGATCCCATCCGGCCCCATGGACTTGGCCAGGTGGAGCAGCAGGTCCCCAGCCTGAACTGGGGGTGGGGGGGTTCTTCTGCCCCCACCCCAGACTTCCAGGTCAGGAGGCTGAATACCCCGAGGATAAGAGGTCTGGCTAGTAAAGGAGGCGTTAAGAACCTCAGCAGTCACATTGCCCCCTGCTTCCAGTAAAGAATGGAGATTCTCCTCGGCCTGCCTCTTGCCAATAGTATATTCATACAAAGATTTTTTATAAAATATAAACCCAAAAGCCCAAAGCCCTAAAAGTGCTAAAAGCACTTTTGGGCTTTGGGTTCTTTACTAATGGCTGGTTTTATAAGACACCAGGCCTGACAGTAATACGCGGGAAAGGTTTATCTCACGGGGGTTCTGGCTGTTGCGACGGGAGTTAGCTTCCCTGTCTGCAGCCCATGGGGGCTTCACCTCCCCACTGATCACCCCACAGGCTTCAGAGCCCCATTTCCCTGCCAGCCTGGCTTTATTTTCACACATGGAACTGTAGGGCTTGGAAGGGACCTCGAGAATCAAAGCAGGTTCCCTAGGGCAGGTTGCCCAGGTAGGCGTCCAGATAGATCTTGAATATCTCCATGGGGAAGAAAACTCCACAGCCTCCCTGGGGAGCCCGTTCCAGTGCTCGACAGCCATTTTTTTGCCTGGTTGAGAGAGGTGGAGGCCACTCGACCTGGGCTGAAGCCTTCCTTCTGTTTCCTTCTGCACAGGTCCAGTTAAAGGCACTTAAGGAACATTTCCGCAAACAGAACGAGCGAGCATCCCACAAGAAGTGCACGGCTGCCCTCCAAGAGCTCTTCCAGGACTTGGACAGACAGTTCAAGGACGGGGTCTACTTTATGGCAGGGGGCTACCCGCTCTTCCAAAGAGACCTGGAGGCACTGGTGGAGCAATACAGGATTCTGCCTGGCAAGGGGGTGAAGGTAGGAACATGAACAGCTCCCCGGTGAGGGCAGAGGCACCATGTCTCACTCCCCCCTCCCAAAAAAACACTCACCTGGAGCTGCTGCTTCACCCCTTGACTCCTGCCCTCCCCATGTCCCTGCAGGCGGAGGCTGCGCTGCAGGATTTCCTCCAGAAGAGAGAGGTTATGGCCAAAACCATCCGCAAACTTGAGCATGAGCTGACAGAGAAGGAAGAGCAGATAAAAAGTAATTTTGGGGCTGGAGAAATGCCACTGCCTGGAGAGGGACTGGCACGGCACGGAAGGACAGTACTCCTTGGGGACCTGGGGCTCATCTCCTGCCTTTGAGACATCTTTGCTTCTCTCTCAACAGATCTGAAAGCCCAGATTGAGAGAGCTGAGGTGGAGAGGGAGGCTGAGAGGAAGAGGGAGCATGAGTCATTCAGAGATGGAAAGCCTCGTCAGAGAAAGCAGCGGGAGGAGGAAGAGAATATGAACGACTATCAATCAAAGGTACCATGGCAGAGAGGACGTGCCCAGAGCTGTGGCTGGCAGGCAGGAATGGTGATGGGGGCCTGCCTGGCTCCCTCCCATTGCTTTTTGGCCCCCTTGCACTGCAGACACCATGCAGGAAGGCTTTGGGCTTGCTGACAACCTGACTGTCTTCACAGGACCAGAAGAAGTCCACAGGTGGCTCCAACAAGAACAACCCTGAGGATGAGCAAAATTCCAAGGGCGGTGGCAAATCCGGTGATGACTCCAGATGGAAAATGTTTTTTGAGTTTTTGGAAAAAGCGCTTGACACTGTTTTGTCACTTTTGTCTCGCTGGTTTGATTATAAGATCATGAAGGCTTTATTTACAAGCCCTGCATAAACAAAGTAAGAGAGCTGTGTAGCGTGCTTCTTGATACCAAGTACAATTCTGCTAACCTCTGCAAGTCCTTGCTGGAAAGGACAGGGTGTGGCAGTGACCTCTGTGGTCACTGCCATTGCACCAGCTAGTGCTTTCATGCTTTCACGTAGTTGGAATTGAAACGAAGAGTCTGGGCAGCGTAATCTTAGGGGCGCGGGGTGGGTTTGCTGATCAGCTTGTAGGTGGGAGATTCTGCTCCTTTGCCATTGCTCAGAAAGGACACCCAAGGGTCAGCACTGGCTCTGACAATATTGACCTTTCTTCATCTTTCATTATGGGTGTGTATTGCTTTCAAAAAGACAAAATAATGCAATAATAAAGTAATGCAATAATAATAATAATAATAATAAAAAGTAACAAAAATAAAATAATAATAATAAAAAATCCTCCAACCTGGGTTTCAGCACGTGGCCATTACTGAGAGCTGCCAATGGTATTTTGGGTCTGCCTAAGGGAGGCTGGCTCTTAATTATGCCCACTGCAACCAACTAGCAAGGGGTGCGGACATCACCGCCCTTGGGTGGGTTAATGTGCACCTCTGGAGCTAATTGCTGCAGTTCCCCTGCCCATGGGGATGGGAGGGCTGGGGCTCACGTAGAAGCCCGCAGCCACGAGCATGCCGAAGCTCCCCAAGCCCTCTCCACTCCTGAGCATCCCTCGGGCCAGCGCTGGTGTGCTTTCAGGGCTCTTTTCCTCACCAGCCCCGAGCCCACGCATGCACCCTCCCAGTTTCAGGAACAGAGCCCGTGGGGGGGGCACAGAGACCGAGAAGGGGTCTGCTGAGGGGCGCTGGGGCAAATTCTCCTTGTCACGGCAGCAGACAACCCCCCCTTGAAGCTCCTGCGCCCCTCTTTGGCCTCGCTCGTTGCAGAAAGCTTCCATGGGCAGTGAAAATCTCGTGCACTACGCCTGCGCCTCCCTCATCTACCTGAGGCCGGGCTCCAGCTCCTGGTCGGGCCAGGACGCGCTGATCTCGGTCACTTACACCATCCTCACCCCCCTGCTCAACCCCATGATTTACACCCTGAGGAACAAGGACGTCAAAGCGGCTCTCTGCAAAGCCATCAGGAAAACACAAATTTCTGCAGAATGTTTTCCAGGAAAGAGGTCAAGGTGAGCAGCGGCCCCAGTGGGTATTTCCAGCCGGCAGCCTCCCCTTCCAAAAAGCATCGCCCCTTTTCCGTCCCCTTTGTGCACATTGTGTCACAGCAGGCAGTTAGGAATTCCCTTCCTTCATCTAATTAGATCATCTAATTGTTGGAATTGGATGAGATTCGAGGTCTCTCATAACCCAAACCATGATTTTATGATTCTGGAGCCCCCCGCCAAGGGCAGGCTGCCCCCAGCCCCATCCAACTTGGTCTTGGGCTCCTCTGGGCGACAGCCCAGTGCCTCAGCACCCTCATAAGAAATTATTTCTCCCTCAAATCTAATCTAAATCTGCCCTGTTTTAGTTTAAAACCCTTATTCCTTGTCCTACCACTACTCTCCCTGACAGAGTCCCTCTCCAGCCTTCCCGTAGCCCCCCTTGAGGAGAAGGCCGCCATCAGGCGCCCCCGGCGTCTCCTCCAGAAATCACCGATCCCGTCCCAATTCAGCAGGTGTCTTTAGTTTCTGCTTTCCCCTTTCATGCTTGTCTGGAAGATGGGAACAACATCTCTGTTTTGCAGACTCGAGGAACCTCCTCGGTCACTGGCCTTTCCACGATGGCCGAGGGCGCTGAGGGCCCGAAGGCCTCGATGGCCTCCGCAGCCTCACCCGGGGCTTCCACCCACCCCAGTCCCTGCCTGTGGGTCCCGTTTAAGCTCGCTTTGGGGCTTCCAGTCCTCGACGGGTGTATTTAGTAGAGGAGCTGGTTTCCAGCCATGGCCACGCTCAGGAGATGTGGGGAAAGGCAGAGCATGAAAGGAAGAAGAAAGCATTGGGCACACCCGAGAAACCAGTGAGGGAATGCACCAGCATCTTCTGACTCGTGGCAGCGGAAAGACCGGGGCACACCGCACCTCCTGGTGCCCCTCTGCACCCCGAAGCGATGCCCAAAGCTCTCCTAAGTCCTTAAGCCTTTTCAGAGAGACTTTTCAGCCTCTCGTGCTGCCCAACCAGCCAGGAGGCTGCGGGTACACAAGAAGCTGTGAGGAGACACAGCAGAGCCAACCTGGCCAAAGGGATATCCCACGCCACGGGACGTCATTGTCATTATTCCTTCGTTTTCTGTCCTATTGAATGGTCTTTATCTCAACCCACAAGTTTTTAGCTTTGCTTTTTTAGCACCTAAGCGTGACTCTGGGTTAAGCCACAAGCTTTTAACTCTGTTTTTTATCACCTAAGTGAGATACTTGGGTGATTCCGGGTTAAACCACCCCAGCTGCCAAGAGTATTCGCATCCTAAATCCCAACGCAGTGCAGTCGCAGCCAGCAATAAGAGAAGTCACCCTATCCCAGCCAAAGGGTCAGGCAGAGAACGGTATTCCTGACATCCAGTCACTGTCTTTCACTTTCTATTATTTTTCCTCCCCGTGATTTCCCAGAACTGGAGGAGAAAGGCTGGACCAAGGCAGCGGATATAAGGCGCCCCGGGTGTTGCAGAGCTGCTGCAGCCCCGGGAAGCTGAAGGTGAGTCCCGTCCCCATCCCTCATCCCCAGCCCCACGCAGGCAGCTATGGGCAGGGGGCACAGGAAAGGGATCCCACGGACCCCAGCGAGCCGAAGAGCTCCCTGCCGGGGGGAGGACAGAGAGGTGCGGAGGTTGGCTCCGTCTTTGCTCTGGGATGGAGCAAAGGGAACGGGGGCGCTGGGAGCCTGTGTGCGACCCCCTAGTACCTGCCCCAGGCTCGGACCCTGTGGGGGGATCGGGCACGGTGCAGATCTTCATGAGATCCCCGAAGCTTCAGCCTGGAGGGGGTAAAAAGAGGAGGTACGGAGGGAGGAAGCTAGGGCATCCTTTCTGCTTGGCTTGGGGAAATGAAGTCGGGTGACGATGTCCCTGGGGCGGGGTGCCCCCGCCTTGCTAACCAGCCCGTCTCCCCAGCAGGCTGCGCGGCTGTGAGCAATGGCATCCGAAATCCAGATGCCGGAGCCCGTCTGCCTAATCGAGAACAAGAAGGGGAAGGGGCTCGTGGTCCAGCCGGAGGCCCTGCAGCTGCTGTCAGAGATCACGCAGCCCATGGTGGTGGTGGCCATCGCCGGGCCGTACCGCAGCGGCAAGTCCTACCTCCTGAACAGGCTGGCTGGGCAGAGGAGAGGTAAGGGAAGGGGATGAGATGTGCACATCCCCTGGCCTGGCCGAGGTGCTCGGCTTCTCCTGCTCGGTATTTCACGCTGCTCAGGCTCTTTGCACCCCCAGGTTTCTCCCTGGGTTCCAGCGTGCGGGCGCACACCAAAGGAATCTGGATGTGGTGCGTGCCTCACCCCTGCAAGCCCGGACACACGCTGGTGCTGCTGGACACCGAGGGGCTGGGAGACACTGAGAAGGTGGGGGAGAAGCGGGGACTTCCCTCATGCCTGGGCTTTCCGGGTTTAGTCCCTTCCAGGAAGGAGCCTCTGCTGGAACCGGATCTGAACCCGTAGGGCAGAAAGCCCGGGGAGTGAGGAGAGGGCTGGCGGGGTGAACGAGCTGCCAAATTCTTCTGCTTCCCTGGCAAATGGCATCCGAGCAGGACTGGGTAGCTCGGGGAACACGTTGTGGGAGCCTGAGAGTGAAAGAGCTGAGGATAAAGAGATGTGGGAAGCCCTGGAGATGCTGGGGGGTCTCCCCAGGGGATGGTTTTGCCATGGGATGCTGGCTGGCAGCACTCAGGCTCCGGGCATTCGGGCTCGTGCCTGAAGGGGTCTTGCATGGGGCTGCTGGATAAGGTGAGAACCTGGGGTCGTTGTTCCAGGGCGACACCGAGAACGACACGTGGATCTTCGTGCTGGCCGTGCTGCTCTCCAGCACCCTGATCTACAACAGCAAGGGCACCATTGACCAGCAGGCCATGGACAACCTGCAGTATCCTTTGTGGGCGCACACGGGGTGCCCCCTGCTCCCTGCCTGGGGGCCACGGGGATCCCACATCCCAGTTCCTTGTGTGGGGAGAGGAAACCTCCCAGCGGTGCCCAGGGACCTGCTCGGTATCCCCGGGGCTTTTCTCCCTCTTCCTGGTGGCAGCGGGCTGGCCTCTGTCCCCCAAAAGGCTCCACCAGTGCCAAGTGTTCACGGGCTGGGGATGCCCCTGTGTTCAGAGCTGAGGTCCCCACTTCCTTAGCCGGCTCCCCAGCTATGTGCTGAAGCTGTCAGAGTGTGTCCAGGTGAAAACAGCACCCGAGGAGGCAGGAGAAGAGCAGGCAGGAGCTGAGCAGGCAGGAGAAGAGCGGGCAGGAGATGAGCAGCCGGGTTCGGACAGACGCGCCCTGTTCTTCTCAACCTTCATCTGGGCTGTCCGGGATTTCACGCTGCAGCTGGAGGTGGACGGGAAGGAAATCTCCGAGGACGAATACCTGGAGAACGCGTTGAAGTTGAAGGATGGTAGGGGAGCGGTGCCGTGCCGCTGGATGCATACAAGTACAGCCCCAGACACGGCTTCTGTGGAAGGCACCGCGAGGCTGAGCCCTGGGGGCTTTTTCTGACCCCTTGTTGCCCCACAGGGAGCAGCCAGGAGGCCCAGAGCTACAACCGGCTGCGGGAATGCATCCGCCAGCTCTTCCCGGAGCGCAAGTGCTTCGTTTTCGACCAGCCAGCCAGGAAGAAGGACCTGCCCCACTTGGAGGAGATCCCGGACAACATGCTCGACCCTGAATTCCAGCAGCAGGTGGAGCGCTTCTGCAGCTACATCGGGCAGAATTGTCCCCCCAAGACCATCCCTGGTGGCCGCGAGATAACGGGGAGCAGTGAGTACCGGTGTCCCGAGGGTCCAAGCTCTTGGGACTGTGTCGGGACCAGGCTCAGATGCAGAGCAAAAGGCTGCTGGGAGTGGCACAGATGCGTTTTTGTGGCAGCTTTGGCACTTACCTCTGGGTTTGGAGCTCCTAGCTGTCGCGTGTGGCTGGAGAAGAGCTAGGAAAAAAAGGTCGGGGCCGTGAGGGGCCCCTGGCAGTGGGGTTAGGGCAGGACCCCGGTCGTTTTGGTCGGGTTGCAGATTCGTCACCCCTCCCCGGCAGGGCTGGGGACCCTGGCGGAGAACTACGTGGAGGCCATCCGGAGCGGGGCTGTGCCGTGCCTGGAGAGCGCGGTGCTGGCGCTGGCAGAGATCGAAAACTCGGCGGCGCTGAAGGAGGCCGTGGACTTGTACCAGCGTCAGATGGAGCAGAGGCTGCCCACGGAGACCACCCAGGAGCTGCTAGAGCTGCACGCGCGGTGTGAGGAGGAGGCGATGCAGCTCTTCATGGAGCGGGCCTTCGAGGAGAGCAGGGAGCGGTTCCGGGCAGAGCTCACGGTAGGTGATCCCCCCCGGGGACACCGTCACCCCTAGCCTGGGGGGAGCAGTGTAGTCCCTGCTGGCCAGGCCAGTGCCGTGCCCTCTAATCATAGAAACATTAGGGTAGGAGAAGACCTCCAGGGTCATCTGGTCCAACTCTCCCCCTACCACCGATGTCACCCACTGAACCACGTCCCCAAGCACCACGTCCAACATTTCTTGATGTCCTTCTGGTAGTGAGGGGCCCACAGCTGAACCCAGCACTTGCGGTGCAGGACCAGGGGACGATCACCTCCCTGGTCCTGCTGGCCGCACTATCCCCGAGGCAAGCCAGGATGCCGTTGGCCTTCTTGGCCCCGGGGGCACACTGCTGGCTCATTTTCAGGCGAGCATCCACCAACACCCCCAATCCTTTTCCTCTGCAGAGCTTGCCAGCCACTCTGCCCCCAAACCTGTAGTGTCTCTGCCCCCAAACCCGTAGCCTTGCATGGGGTTGTTGTGACCCAAGTGCAGGACGTGGCACTTGGCCTTGTTGAACCTCATCCCATCGGCCTCTGCCCATCGATCCAACCTGCCCAGGTCCCCCTGCAGGGCCTTCCTATCCTCCAGCAGATCGACACTTCCCCCAGCTTGGTGTCACCTGCAAACTGACTCGATTCCCTCATCCAAGCCTTCCACGGAGATATTAACGAGGATGGGCCCAACACCGACCCCTGGGGAACACCACTGGTGACCGGTCACCAGCTGCATTGTCATACATCAAGACCTGCTCCGTCCCCTTCCCTGGCACCGAGGTCAGGCTGACAGGCCTGTAGGTCCCCGGGTCCTCCTTACCACCCTTTTTATAGACGGGTGTCCCGTTAGCAAGTCTCCAGGGCCCTCCCCAGATGACCATGACCGCTGAGAGATGATGGAAAGCAGCCCAGCAATCCCACCGCCAGCTCCCTCAGCACCCTCGGGTGGCTCCCATCCGGCCCCATGGACTTGGCCAGGCGGAGCAGCAGGTCCCCAGCCTGAAGTGTGTGTGGGGGGTTCTTCTGCCCCCACCCCAGACTTCCATGTCGGGAGGCTGAATATCCCGAGGATAAGAGGTCTGGCTAGTAAAGGAGGTGTTAAGAACCTCAGCAGTCACATTGCCCCCTGCTTCCAGTAAAGAATGGAGATTCTCCTCGGCCTGCCTCTTGCCATTAGTATATTCATACAAAGATGTTTTATAAAATGTATTCCTAAAAACACTTTTGGGCTTTGGGTTCTTTACTAATGGCTGGTTTTATAAGACACCAGGCCTGACAGTAATACGCGGGAAAGGTTTATCTCACGGGGGTTCTGGCTGTTGCGACGGGAGTTAGCTTCCCTGTCTGCAGCCCATGGGGGCTTCACCTCCCCGCTGATCACCCCACAGGCTGCAGAGCCCCATTTCCCGGCCAGCCTGGCTTTATTCTCACACACGGAACTGTAGGGCTTGGAAGGGACCTCGAGAATCAAAGCAGGTTCCCTAGGGCAGGTTGCCCAGGTAGGCGTCCAGATAGATCTTGAATATCTCCATGGGGAAGAAAACTCCACAGCCTCCCTGGGAAGCCCGTTCCAGTGCTCAACAGGTATTTTTTTTGCCTGGTTGAGAGAGGTAGAGGCCACTCAACTTGGGCTGAAGCCTTCCCTCTGTGTCCTTATGTTGTGTATAGATACATCAACACAAAAAGGAGGACTAAGGAGAATCTCCATCCTTTACTGGATGCGGGGGGAAACTTAGTTACAAGAGATGAAGAAAAGGCGGAGGTGCTTAATGCCTTCTTTGCCTCAGTCTTTAGCAGCAATACCGGTTGTTCTCTGGATACCCAGTACCCTGACCTGGTGGAAGGGGATGGGGAGCAGGATGTGGCCCTCACCATCCACGAAGAACTGGTTGGTGACCTGCTACGGCACTTGGATGTGCACAAGTCGATGGGGCCGGATGGGATCCACCCAAGGGTACTGAGAAAACTGGCAGAGGAGCTGGCCAAGACGCTTACCATTATTTATCAACAGTCCTGGCTATCAGGGGACGTCCCAGTTGACTGGCGGCTAGCAAATGTGATGCCCATCTACAAGAAGGGCAGACCTGGGAAACTACAGGCCTGTCAGTTTGACCTCAGTGCCAGGGAACCTCATGGAGCAGATCCTCTTGGGAGTCATCATGTGGCACTTGCAGGGCAAGCAGGCGATTAGGCCCAGTCAACATGGGTTTATGAAAGGAAAGTCCTGCTTGACAAACCTGATCTCCTTTTATGACAAAGTGACGCGCTGGGTGGATGAGGGAAAGGCTGTGGATGTGGTCTACCTTGACTTCAGCAAGGCTTTTGACACCATCTCCCACAGCATTCTCCTCAAGAAACTGGCTGCTCTTGGCTTGGACTGGCGCATGCTTCATTGGGTTAGAAACTGGCTGGATAGCCGAGCCCAAAGAGTCGTGGTAAATGGAGTCAAGTCCAGTTGGAGGCCAGTCACTAGTGGCATTCCCCAGGGCTCGGTGCTGGGGCCGGTCCTCTTTAATATCTTCATCGATGATCTGGATGAGGGCATCGAGTGCACCCTCAGTAAGTTTGCAGATGACACCAAGTTAGGTGCGTGTGTCGATCTGCTCGAGGATAGGAAGGCTCTGCAGGAGGATCTGGATAGGCTGCACCGATGGGCTGAGGTCAACTGTATGAAGTTCAACAAGGCCAAGTGCCAGGTCCTGCACCTGGGGCGCAATAACCCCAAGCAGAGCTACAGGCTGGGAGATGAGTGGTTGGAGAGCTGCCAGGCAGAGAAGGACCTGGGAGTGATGGAGGACAGTCGGCTGAATATGAGCCAGCAGTGTGCTCAGGTGGCCAAGAAGGCCAACGGCATCCTGGCTTGGATCAGAAACAGTGTGACCAGCAGGGCTAGGGAGGTGATCGTCCCCCTGGACTCGGCTCTGGTGAGGCCGCACCTCGAGTACTGTGTTCAGTTTTGGGCCCCTCACTACAAGAAGGACATCGAGGTGCTTGAGCGGGTCCAGAGAAGGGCGATGAAGCTGGTGAGGGGCCTGGAGAACAAGTCCTACGAGGAGCGGCTGAAGGAGCTGGGCTTGTTCAGCCTGGAGAAGAGGAGGCTCAGGGGTGACCTTATTGCTCTCTACAGATACCTTAAAGGAGGCTGTAGTGAGGTGGGGGTTGGCCTGTTCTCCCACGTGCCTGGTGACAGGACGAGGGGGAATGGGCTTAAGTTGCGCCAGGGGAGTTTTAGGTTAGATGTTAGGAAGAACTTCTTTACCGAAAGGGTTGTGAGGCACTGGAACGGGCTGCCCAGGGAAGTGGTGGAGTCACCATCCCTGGAAGTCTTTAAAAGACGTTTAGATGTAGAGCTTAGGGATATGGTGTAGTGGGGACTGTTAGTGTTAGGTTAGAGGTTGGACTCGGTGATCTTGAGGTCTCTTCCAACCTAGAAATCCTGTGACTCTGTGATTCCTTCTGCACAGGTCCAGTTAGAGGCACTTAAAGAATATTTCTGCATCCGGAACGAGTGGGTATCCTATAAGAAGTGCATGGCCATCCTCCAGAAGCTCTTCCAGGACTTGGACAGACGGATCAATGCCAGGTTCTACTTCATGTCTGGGGGCTACCTGCGCTTCCAAAGAGACCAGAAGGCACTGGTGGAACAATACAGGAAACTGCCTGGCAAGGGGGTGAAGGTAGGAACATGAACAGCTCCCCGGCGAGGGCAGGGGCTCCACGTCCCACTGCCCCCTCCTAAAAAAACACTTGCCTGGAGCTGCTGCTTCACCCCTTGACTCCTGCCCTCCCTGTGTCCCTGCAGGCAGAGGCTGCGCTGCGGGATTTCCTCCAGGAGAGAGAGTATATGGGCAAAAAAGTCCTCAAAGACGACCTTGAGATTACATTGGCTGTAATACTGAGCTGTCTTTCAATAGGGGTGGGTATTGCTGTCCGAATCATAAAATAATACAATAATAAAAAAATGCAATAATAAAAGAATGCAATAAAAAATAATGCAAAAATAATAAAAAAAATAAAAAATCCTCCAACCTGGGTTTCAGCACGTGGCCATTACTGAGAGCTGCCAATGGTATTTTGGGTGTGCCTAAGGGAGGCTGGCTCTTAATTATGCCCACTGCAACCAACTAGCAAGGGGTGCGGACATCACCGCCCTTGGGTGGGTTAATGTGCACCTCTGGAGCTAATTGCTGCAGTTCCCCTGCCCATGGGGATGGGAGGGCTGGGGCTCACGTAGAAGCCCACAGCCACGAGCATGCCGAAGCTCCCCAAGCCCTCTCCACTCCTGAGCATCCCTCGGGCCAGCGCTGGTGTGCTTTCAGGGCTCTTTTCCTCACCAGCCCTGAGCCCACACGTGCACCCTCCCAGATTCAGGAACAGAGCCCGTGGGGGGGGCACAGAGACCGGGAAGGGGTCTGCTGAGGGATGCTGGGGCAAATTCTCCTTGGCACGGCAGCAGACAACCCCCCCTTGATGCTCCTGCGTCCCTCTTTGGCCTCGCTCCTTGCGGAAAGCTTCCATGGGCAGTGAAAACCAAACGATGGCCACCGACTTCATCTTCGTGGGGTTCTCCAGCCTGGCGGAGCTGCAGAAGCTGCTCTTCGGGGTGTTTTTGCTTCTCTACCTGCTCACACTGAGCATGAACACGGCTATCATGACTGTCATCAGGGTGGAGCGGAGCCTTCACACACCCATGTACTTCTTCCTCTGCGTCCTGTCCTTCTCTGAGACCTGCTACACCCTCGTGATCGTCCCCAAGATGCTGGTGGACTTGGTGGCGGAGAGAAAAGCCATTTCCTTCTTGGGCTGTGCCGTCCAGATGTACTTCTTCCTCCTGCTGGGCTGCTCCCACTCCTTCCTCCTGGCGGCCATGGGCTACGACCGCTGCGTCGCCGTCTGCCGCCCGCTGGCCTACAGCAGCATCATGACCCGGCGGCTCTGCGCGCAGCTGGTGGCCGCGTCGGCGCTCAGCGGGCTGCTGGTGGCCCAGCTGGTCACCCCCCTGGTGTTCTGCTCGCCGTTCCAGGCCAGCCGGCAGCTCGAGCACTTCTTCTGCGACATCTCCCCCGTCCTCTGCGTGGCCTTCAGGCAGAGCCACGCCGGCGAGGCCGTTATCGTGGCGCTGGGCGTCTTCGCCCTGATGGTCCCGCTGACGCTGCTCCTGGCTTCGTACCTCTTCATCCTCGCCGACGTCCTGCGCATCCCCTCGGCCGCGGGGAGGCACAAAGCCTTCTCCACCTGCAGCGCCCACCTGGCCGTGGTGCTCGTGCACTACGCCTGCGCCTCCCTCATCTACCTGAGGCCGGGCTCCAGCTCCTGGTCAGGCCAGGACGCGCTGATCTCGGTCACTTACACCATCCTCACCCCCCTGCTCAACCCCATGATTTACACCCTGAGGAACAAGGACGTCAAAGCGGCTCTCTGCAAAGCCATCAGGAAAACACAAATTTCTGCAGAATGTTTTCCAGGAAAGAGGTCAAGGTGAGCAGCGTCCCCAGTGGGTCTTTCCAACCTGCAGCCTCCCCTTCCAAAAAGCATCGCTCCTTTTCCACGAGCCCTGTGGCTCCCAGCAGATCTTCAGCAAAGCCATGACAGCGAAGCACGGCTGCTAAGAAGGATGAACAAATTCCAGGCACAGCGAGAGTGGGAAAACCAACTTCAATTTCTTTTTGAATATAGAAACCCAATTTCTTTTTGAAGGTGGAAATCCAAATTTCCACCCCTGTGCCAGCAAAGCTTCCAGCTGTACAACCTGAGACATTTAGTGAAGAAGAATCATAGGTGTCAAAAATATTTCAAGGGGAAACTCCATTTTTTTTCAGGAGATCGCAAGCACAGGACCATATTCATGGTGTGTATCAAGTTTGTATATTGCGGGGCCCATCAACAAAGCCTGCAAGGAACCGAGCTCCTGCAAGGGATTTCCTCCTTCGAATGGCATCATCTCGCCTTCACCAGGGGCTGAATTAACCCATCTGCTGTGTTCACATCCTGGGATGCACAAAGTTGACCACAAAAGCCTGTTTTTTCCTCCAAAATGAAGGTGTCATCTCTTCATCAATGAGAAAGTGGAATTGGCAAAGCAAGGAAGTAAAACTTTTCCAAGAGGAAAAGCCCCTGAAGAACTAGTTGTTTTTAAAACCCTGGGGTTCCCTCCCTCCGCAGGGGGGATTGCCCCAGTCAGTCGAAGGCAACTACCAGGAAAACCCAAAAGGCTCCTGAAACTTTTATTTCTAGGGCTTGTCACAGCAGCAGAGGCAGGCATGCTTTCTCCAAACCTTCATGTCACATTGCAACCTGGCAAGCTCTGACGCGGCAGAACTCAGGTTATTCCTCTGATTTATTTTCATTTTATTGTGAGGTATGTGGGTCTAAAATCCAGACCTGATTTTACTACTGAGTAAAATCAGTACTACTGAGCCCATGCAGGGGGTGGGGATGGAGTAAGGAATGGGACCAGGGCACTGCAATCCCCAAAAGCCACATGGGGACCTTTTGCAACCTTTTTGAAAGAGCACTTCGTAAATCAGGGACCAGGAGCTGCAATGCGAGGCCCCAGAAGATGAAAAAGAGAAACAACAGGGAGGAAGAAACCCATGGGGACAGGAGAGGCTACAGGATCTGGAGCTGCTTGATGCGGAGAGAAAGCAGCTGCAAGGAAGCTCCCAGGACCATAAAGGGCACCTCCCTGTGCCCCCCACTCTGGTATTTTACATACTACTGACATTGGAGATCATTAAACAACCGAGTTGCCGTCACAGCAGACCTCAGCCAGCCTTACTGCTGTGCTTAAAAAAAAACAAACAAGACACCCGTGAGGATTTAATCACAATTTTATTCTGCAAACTCAGCATTTTCAATTCTAAAATTCAAAAAAAAAAAATATAACAATAAAAGGTGGTGCTGCCTCTCAGGGAATGTACAGCTTCCTGCAATCTTCGACCTAAACCAAAAACAGTACGGAGAGAGCAGAACTAAGCAAATCTACAGAACAAGACAGAGGAGCGCACGCCTGCTCACAGGGCAGAGCAGCTGGGTCCCTGCCCTTGAACAAAAGCGGAACGCCGCTTCCAGCTGCACACAGTAAGACAGGAAGAGGAAGAAAAAAAAATACAAAACCAAAACCAGGGGTTATAACAAGGGCGTGGGACAATCACCTTCACACAAACATTCACAGTTACTCTTGCTGCGGCTCAGTGGCTGCCGGCGAAACCTCTTCCTCCCCCCCTTCCTCTTCTTCCTCCTGCTCACTGCACGCAGCCGGAGCTGCCTCGCTCACGTTTTCCTCTCCCTTCTCCTCCTCCTCCTCTTTAGCTGCCCAGCCCTCAGTTTTATTCTCTGCTGCTGGCTCCTGGGGAGTTTCTGGAACCGAAGGCGGCTCCTCTGAGTCTGCCTCGGCTGCTGCTTCTGAAGGTGCCGCGGGGTCCGGAGGCGCCGCAGCCTCATTTGTGTCCTCCGCTGCCTCCTCTGCTTCGAGCTGGTCGTCGTCTTGCAGAAACGGGGGCATCAGCAGCTGTTTGGGGTGCTGATCCTGCTCCCCCACATGTTTCAGGAACTCCTCTGATTTTGACAGCTCTTCGGAAGGCCCTTCCATCTCTTCTGCTGTTGGAGCCACATCCGTAGCTTCACCCGTGTCCCCAGCTCCTCCCTCCTGGGCCTGGGCAGCCTCCGTAGCGGTGTTTTCGTTTGCTCCTTCCCCACCGCCATCTCCGCCTTCCAAGGCTTCTCCTTCGTCCACATCCTGGTCGGTGATTTCGTCTGTGAACGGATCTTCACCCTGGGGGAGAGAGAGGGGGAAGAGAGAAGAGTCATCGGGCTGCAGTGAGGCGGAGGCGACCTCAGCCGTGAAACGCAGAGGTTCGCAACCGAGCGGAAAACGGCAGCTGCTCAATCGTGGAAATCCAGCGCGTCAAGCCCCAGAGCCACTAAGCTTCCAGCAAGAGAAGCGCCCCGGGAGGGTGCTTGGATCCCGTGTCTTGGAGGAGTGGGAGGAACGTGCGAATCTCCCTCCTGCGCGGCACGCTGCTGAGCGTGCGGGTGCCGGGGCTGGGTCCTATGCTAAGAACCGTGTGTGCTGCAGCACCCGGGAGAGCGAGCCGGGGCATCGGCTCTGCTCTCAGCTGGGAGGAACTTGGCTCAACGAGACGATTTTAAAAAAAAAAGAAAAAAGCAATTCCTCAACCTCTGTCCATTCCCAGCTCGGTGGGATGGCACGGGACTCCCACACGGTGGGAGAGGAGTGGGAAGGAAGATCAGCGACTTGTGGCCTTCCTCTCGCCCTTCGCTGGAGATCAAGGAGTCCAGCTGCCCAGAGCCACGGCGCTAACCTTGACCTCACGTGCACACAACCCTGACAATCCCCCGAGCACGGCTCTTGCTCTCTCCCCCGCTACGAGGAGCCCGAGCGCCTCAGGGTAGGGTTTATTTTATTTTATTTTTGACCTCGTTACCTTTATTCAGGCCGACATCAGATCCTAGCACTGCTCCCACCGGGGCAGGGACCATTTTGTTTGGTTCTCTGCTTGTGTTTCGGGGTTAGGTGTGGGTGAGCACTGTACGGTCAGTGGGTGCTGTGCCCTAGCGCTGGCCCTGCCGGAGAGTAGGGCCACACTGTGCCACAATCCGGGACAAACCGTGCTTCTAAACTCCCTCTCCCTTCCTCACAGGTCACCAAGGTATGCGGAGGACTGGCCTGCAACAGACGAAATGTGAAGGGAGGCGGGCAGCATGCCAGCGGCAGAAACCTCGCCTGAAATCTGATCGACCGGGACGAAGAGTTTGCTCAACTCCCCCCGCCGTGGCTGTGGTGGAAGCTGGGAGAGCAACCTCTCCGGCTCCAGCACAGCGCCTGCGACATCCCGAAAAGCGGAGGCACGCCGGTAGAGGCCGGCCTGGTAAAGCCAGGCCTGTCCCCGCTCGCTACGTCCCAGCGCCTCTCGGGTTCTCTGCCTCACGGACCGGATCGATCAGAGGTTCAGACCAGATTGGCTGCCTCCACACGAGCAGATCCATGCAGGTGGAGGACAAACGCAACGGTAAATCTTCCCTGGCTGAGGTTCAGCCAGCTGGTCTCACCTACCGAGGTTCTGGAGGACATGGGGGGGGAAAACTTCAGGCTATACCTTGCGATCTGGACCCAAGTCCGTTATCGCCGGTAAAAGCTACGGGGGGATATGAAGTCCACTAGTGGTGGAGACTGTCACGGCCTCCCTTGGGAAGGGTGAGGCGCCCAGCATCCCTCAGAGGAGGAATCGTTAGGCCCGCGTTCAAGAAACCAGCTCTTGATGCTGAGAGTCTTGTGTCAATTATCGCCCTGTCTCCGGCCTTCCTTTCTCGGGGAAGGTTGCCGAGAATGTTTTGGCGAGGCAGCTCGGGCATTACCTGGAATCCTCAGATTTCCTCCACCCCTTTCAGTCTGGTTTTGCACCTGGGTATGGTACGGAGACCGTGCTGGGATGGGTCGAAGATCTCCTCCTGCCGATGGACAAAGGTCAGGCGCCCGTGCTGATTCATTTAGATCTGCCGGCAGCCTTTGATACCGTTGATCATGAGGAGTTGTTGACGTGCCTGCGGACCCTGGCAGGGGTAGACGGAGTTGCACTTGAGTGGTTCCGTTCTTTCCTCTGAGAGATCCCAGAGGGTAGCACCGGGCAAACGCTCGTCTGCCCCGAGGGCTCTCTTGGGTGGGGTACCGCAGGGTTTTTATGTCACCCTCCTGTTCAACGTGTATGAGAGGCCGTTAGGGGAGGCGGCCTCATCACTTGGCTGCAGCGCCACCGTACGCTGGCAACTCTCAGCTCAAAGTCTCTTTCACTGGACCCAGAGGGTGGAGTCGCAGTTTTGCTAGAGTCTAGCAGAGACTGGGCATGATGAGAGCTAGCTGGCAGAGGCTCGATCCGGGAAAGGCCAAAGTGATGCCGGTGGGACAGGGGAAACATCTGCTCCCCCGTGTGGGGGTGGGGGGGGGGAAGGAGGCCGCCCGCGCTGCCGGCCGGCTTTGCGGACAGGGCTCCTGTCGGATCCTGGGCTGCTCCTGGGCTCCCAGGGAGCAGCAGTAGGCGAAAGCGCTTCGTTTTGTCTTCGCGGGGCCACGAGGTTGCGACCTTTCCTCTCGGATGCGGGCCGCGCCCGTAACCCCCGCCACCTCCAGACCGCGTTGCTGCCAACGCGCTCCGCACTGGGGGGGGCTCTGAGGGCGGCCCATGGCCGCCCACGCGCTCCCCCCAAGGCTCTGCAGGCTGCACTGGCTTCCGGCTTCTTTCTGCAATTCCAAGTGCTGCTCTGGACCTAGTGAGCCCTACCTGGCACCGGCCCTGCCCTCTCCTCGCACTCCAGCTTGGCTCTGAAGATGGGCCGGGGGACACTCCGCCACTTCCCAGCTCGCACCTCATGGGAAGAGGAGGGGGGGGCTACAGCCAGGCTGTTTCAGCTCACGGGAATTCGGCTCCGTCACTCGGTTGAGCTGCCGGGAGCGTTGCAGAGCCCAGCTCCTTACATAGGGCAAAATTTGCCCCAGTGCAGCAAGGGGACAACGGGTGGCACAGGAGCCGACCACCTCCAACTCCAGCCCGGCCTGGACCCAAGCAGTGCTGCCTGACTCACGCACACTGCACCAGGGGGAGCTTGGTCCCCAGGCCACTGCTCGAGGGGTGGCTTTAGCACACTGGAGTTCCTTTTTTCTCTCTTTTTTTTTTTTTTCCTCTCCTATTTTTGTCTCCTTATGTTTCTGTTTGGACGGTTTCGTAACTGCTCTACAAGCGCCTGGGAATGACAGTAGGTACAGTCTGCAAGTTAAAAAACACGAGAGGTTGTAAACCGCCTACAGAGAAAAAAAGAAACCAGACCCAAGGATTTAGACTAGAGGCAAAGAGGCAGCGGAGTGGGATCTACGCTCCTCCCCATCGCGTGTAACAGGGTGTCCTGTGACCAACATGCAGCACACACAGCGATGCGCGGCTCCAGCGCTCGGGACCACCGCGGTGCCTGTCCCCCACTGCTCCGGGACCTCCGCACCAGCTGGTGACTCTCTCGCCCACTCACCTTGAGGTACTTCTCCAGCATCTTGACGATGTGTTTGTTATTCAGGACGCTCTTGGCGACGTGCAAGCTGGTCTTCTTGAACTGTTCCGCAGCCATCTGAAAAGGAACCCAACATTAGCCTCACTGGGTCGGTCCTGAGGGAGAAGGAAGAGTTCCAAAGAGGATTTTGGCTCAAGATACCAAATTCTTTCCTCCTTGGCAGGGCTTGGAAAACCCAACCTCAAAATCCAGCTTCTCAGAGAGCATCACAAGGAGCAGAGAGAGGGGAGCACCTGCACCTCTTCTGCTGCCACAAGCCCTGGAGAAGAATGTGCACCAACTGGAACTTCACCCCAAATTTTATTCATCCTGAGCACAAGGAGTCCATGCACACGTCAAACGTTTAACACTGAGAAGACGAAAACTACCCCAGGGATGTGTGGATCTGACCAAAGCTTGCTGCCTCCATCTGTGCTCGCATCGAGAGACAGCAGCAACCCTTTTCAGCAGCAAAGGCAGCTCCACAACCGCCCCGTAGAGAGGAATTCCTGTGTCAAACCCCCTGGGAGCTGCTGTTCAGCGCAGTATGCCCATGCCCTGGCAGGCCACAAGCCCCAGAACATCTTTCAGAGAGGGTGGTTTGTTTTGCTAAGCTTCTAACACCTTCTCCCGAGACACAACGCAGCTACACGTGGGACAGGCAGGATCTGTACTTATCCTACAGAGCGAAAAACAAAAGCTACTTCCTGCTTTTCACAAGCACTGCACTTCCACTGCCTCTCTTCAGCCTAACTCACCCGATTTCTAAAGCCCCTCCACAGCCTGGGCCAGTTCAGACACTGACCATCTCCTATCCAAATTCCTTATGTGCCCCCAAAGGGGACTTTAAGTCAGAATTTTAGCAAAATTAGAGAGAAGGAACACTTAGTCTAGAACATTTATACAGTATGCCTGGACTTCAATTAGTCCAACACCAAGGAGACAAAAAGAAAAGGCTATTGGCTATCTCAAAAAGCTGCAGTTTGGGGCCTGTCTGGATTGTCTGAACCCCAGGCACCAGTTTTGGCTCAGAGTATCTTCACGGCAGCCTCACTTTCCGCTGGTTGCGCAAAGTCACTGACGTGCCCTGGTAACCCCCCAGTGCAGGAGAAGAGGCCAGCTCTCAAAAATAAAGTCAGGGCTGCAGAAAAACCTGCCGAGACCGACTGCGACCAGCGGCCAGGTCTGGTTGCTTACCCTGCGGTTTCGGTTGTGATCCGCAGATCGCAGGTGCCTCTGGAGGAGGTGGTTCTGTGCAGGAATTAACATGTCGCAGGCCATGCAGTGAGCCGCCTCGATCTTCTTGAAGAAGTGTTCCTGGCCAATACCTGCAGCAACAAGGAGAAGTTAGCCCCAACTCGTAAGGAAGGAGATGTTCTGGGAACACCACGACCTTTCTACCTGCTCTCCCCACGCCAAGGCCAACGTGCTAATTCAGCACCCATCCTCCTTCCCATTTCTGCCTTCCCTTTGGGGACAAAAATCACACCCACAAGGCACGGACTGGGGTTATTCTGCTCTAAAACGGATGGCACTGATGCAGTACTCACGTGGAGGAGGAGAGATTGTGCTAACAGCCCAAGGTACGAAGCAGTTCACTTACCTGAGCAAAGCGAGGCACCAAACCCCGGTTTCTTCAGTGCTGCTGGAAGCCAGCCAGCCTCCCCATGCCCATTTAACAGCACAACGGCCAGCTCGAGCCTCCCCCAGCCTTGGCTTCACTCCTCTATACTTTTGCCCAGGTTTTCTGTCTGAACTCCCATTTTGTAGCCTACCTGTGGCTTAAATAAGCCGCATTCCCCACTCCTGGACTCAGCACAAATACCAGCTCCGTACGCTGAGGACGGGTTGCGCTGATCAGGCTACGTGGATTTTTTTTCTTCTCAGCGTGATTTTTTTTTTTCCCCCAAACAGATCAACTTCGCTGCTTCCTCTTAATGTGAGGAGCAAACACAGGCCCCAGCTGCATTAACAGCCACAAAGGTAACAAGCCTTTGGAGTTTTTCCCTCCCACTTAGAGCTTTGTGAATCTGTCGCCTGTGAAACTGCAGAAGGACAGATCCCCACCAAAGCGACATCCCACAAACTGGGCAACGAGGCATCCAGACCCTGACCCACAGCAGCACGAAGGACAGAGCCCCTCTGGAAGTAACGTTTATCAGACTGCAACCCTGGTAAGCTGCAGCAGTCCTCAAAATCAGCAGCAAGCCCACAAGGTTCTGGTTAGTTTGGCAGGCTGGGGTAAACGGGAGGTTCGGTGGTGATTTCACCTCTTGGCAGACACCGCTCTGCCACCAGCTGTGGCCACACCACTGCGTGCTACCAGTGAGCCCTGTGTTTTTGGGATTCCCCTCCTCTTCCCTGCCACGGGACAGACTCTTACCCTTAAAAGGATCTGGCTTCTGCTTCGTGCCCTCTTTCTCAGTCAGCTCCTGGCGACGCTTCTCAATTTTTTTATTCCTATTGACGATGTATTCCTAGAGAGAGGAAGGGGAAGGAGCTCGCTGTCCTCCACAACACACTGAGACACCAAGGCCCTCCAAAGGGAAACAAGGCCCCTGTGGTCTTCCTCCTGGCCTTAGGAGGTCATAGCTGGTGAATTAAGAAGACGAGGCAGGCGTTTTCCCCTCCCCATCCCTTCCAGCAAAGAAAGATCCAGCCTAGAGCCCAGCTCGGTGCCCCCTATCAGGTTCTGACCTTACAGTCCCCAGGGGAGATGGCAACAACCCTCAACAGACCCCAAAAAGCAAAAAGAAAATAAAACACCCCAGTCCTTCCCCAGCTCTAGCTGTGCAGGGGGCAAAGAATTTCTGGAGCATTTATTTCTGGCCTTTCTGTTTAAATTCGCAGAGCCAACTTCCCCTCCCAGCACGCCAACCCATGAGAAGCTGCATCACACTAAATGAAGTCATCAAGCGATGTGTTGACGAGTGGTGATGTGAGCCAGCCAGGCAGGGGGCTGAATGTTAGTGATTTCGTAACCCCTTTCACTCCCAGACAAGCCTGGAAATCCCAAATAACCCAGCAGTGATGCAGAGAAGACACGGAAGAGATGCGCCAGCACTGGGCTGTGCACGTACCTGCAGGAACTCAACTGTTTTGTCTGGGAGCTTGGTGCCAATGTACCGCAAGGTCTCTTTGTGGAACTTGCTCTGTAGGTGTTTTTGGATCTCCTCTTCCTCAAAACTGCGGAACTTGCACACAGAACAGGCGAACTGGATCCTGAACAGAGCAATTGCATGCAAGTGAGCTGAACTTTTAATGGGAACATCAAGATCACAGCTGCTACTGCCCCAACTGTACTTTTTTTTTTTTTCTCCAAAATGCACTGCCACAGTTTTACTCTGTGGCAGTTCTTTGTGATCACTGTGTAACCCCCACTGAACAAGGAGCATCTACATCTCCCCAAAACAGGTCGTTACACCACAGGAGAGGATGCAAAATCCCACACAAGTTTAAAAACAGGTGGACAAACTCAAACCGCAGGAGATTAAACAGATGTAAAAATACTCTCCCTAGTTTGGGACAGCCCTGAGATACAGAACCACAGCTGCCACCTTAAGCTGTCTTTTGGTGATTTATGGCATTACTGTCATAGCAAGGCTGCTTGTATAGCCACTTAATATTCCCTTCTGAATTTGTAACTCTACACTGAGCTATGTATCAAACAGCATGGTATTCCCATCTTAGAGCAGTCCTAAGACATGCATAAGGGGGAAAAAAAAACCACAAAACTGCTGGAATCAGAATGCAGAGCCCCAAAACGTGATTCCCCAGACAGGCTTCTTGCAGAGGAAGGTCTGAGGTAAATATTACAACGTGCGATCGCTCACAGAAACACTGGGAACAGACTAGGCTATCACTCTTCCTACCTGTCCATGGCACGGTCACGCATCCTATCTCTTCGCCGCTGCTTCTCCCTCTTCTTTTTCACCTCTTCATCATCATCTTCGCAGCCATCTCCAGATGCTAGGGGGAAGGAAAAAATAAGAATAAAAATCTCGGAGTTGCTGTGTAAGAGCTCATGGTTTACTGGCTGAGGTATTTCAGGACCAAGTTCCTGAAGCTGAGAGTAAAGAGGAAGCGAAGAAGGAACTTCTGGCCTGCCTCCAGCAGTTGCCGTAAAACCCAAACCCTCCCCTCCTCCAGCTCCCTCAAATTCCCAGAGCAACTTGAGTCTTGGGAGGCAGCGACAGGACGTGCCCTTACTGGAAAGGGCAGTCACAAACAGTCATTTACTTCCACAGCGCCACAGAGGCATGCTGCCAAGACACCTCTCTGACTCACTTTTTGGGAGAGAATTTTTTCTCCCTGTATTCTCATTTTTCCCCCAACCACCTGTTTCTCACAAGGCTGAAAAAGCTACTTTAAAAGGTTAAGCAACAGAAGCACAGATGTTAGTAGTGCTAACATCGCGGCTCTGCTTCCTTAGAACAGTTTCAGACTTGTTACGCCTTCCCAATAATCTCGAGAGTTGTCAGGAAAACAGGCGAGACCGAGAGATTCAGCTGACCTAATCTTGGCAATATTTTAGGTGAGAAAGCTACAAGCACTGGGTCAGAGGTTTATCAGCCCCACGGGACAACGCCTTCAGGTGAAAGAAGCACAGAGACCAGTCCTAGTCAGGATGCAGTCAGCAGTGGGAGGCTTGAGCAAGAACTTTAACACCCAGCCACGCTTCTTTCAATCCCAAGCATAATCCAGAAGCGCCAACATCACTCACTGAGGCTTCTGCAAGTCACCATAACGCAGAAAGCACAGCATGTTTGGGGCTGACGTGTCTTTACCAAAAAGGACAATCCAACGTCAGCAGAAGCAGTTTCAGCTCCTTTAGAGCATGTGGGTTTTAAAATTGCCACCCTGATATCCTGCCATGTATCCCTGTATATCCTGGCGGGAGCTGCATCAGCTTTTGATGGAAAAAAAATAAAAATCAAACTCTGGGCAGTGCCTGAAGGCGAGGCAGGCAGCAAGGTGGAGTGTGTCCAGCTCACACACTGGGGGAGCCACCCTACCTTCCTCTGCGAAGTCAGCACAACTCCCATTCTCCTGGAAAACAGAAAGAGAAAAGGAGGCCGCTGTCATGTGCTGCCATCTGGAGGTGTCGTCCACCCAGCCACTGGCAGAGCTGGTGAAGGACGAGGAGATTTCACCCCCCTGCTGACGCAGGGACGGAGTGCCGACATTCACAACCACCACCCCCAAATCGTCAGCTGGCACAGGTGGCTACACATCACTGGGGATATCACTCCTGGCCATCAAAATGTAAATATTCCACGCCTGAGTCACTGTCTGAGGAGCGCCTTGCAAGCCCCCTTCCCCCCCCCCCCCCCAAACCTGGCAAAGGAGTAAAGGAAACTACCACTAATTGGGACTTCCGCCTAACGAGCCTCGCAGGTAGAGCCAGAAGCATTAGGACATGAGCATTAGGATCCCAAACTCCCCACTCCAGGGCTCTCAGCACCTTGGCACAGGCACCTCAACACAGATCAATCTGCCAGTAATCCTTGCTGAAGGGCATGGGAAATGAGGAAGAACGAGTACTTTTGGAATGTACGGGCTCAGAACGCTGCTTCTAGGTGATTTTAACAACTCTGCCTTCAGCACAGTCAAAAAGCCAAATGGTTGGAGTGGGTAAATGTTCCCATGGCTGCCACAAAGACTTAAAAAACAAACAAACAAAAAAAATACTTACACCTTTGTCAGCTTCATCTCCTGATTTTTCCTCTCCTTCGCCCTCATCTGCTGCATGCAAGAAAAATCATTTAGCTGGTGTTGGGAAATCCTCTTTCCCATTACACGCTGCAAGAGGCTACTTAGTAAGCCACCGAGTACTGCAGTAATGGCTCAGAACCCCAGCAAGGATAGCTAACTGCTCACTGGTTTCTCCTTGCCTCTCAGTCCGTGCTGCAAATGCTGTCCTTACACCCCCAAAGCCTACCTGGGGCATTAGATTTTGGTCTAGGCCACGAAGCCTGTGCACAAGGTGGAACTTGCAAGCACGTTATGGCAATACCCACGCTAGTGACTAAAGAACATGGCAGCTTTGAAATGTAATCATTCAGCTGAAAAGATTATTTTTAGCTGAAAGATGAATAATCATCTTTCAACTGAAAAGATAAAATGCTTAAGAACATGTGGGGAAAATGAGCAATGCTTGGCTCGTACCGTTCTCGGTGTCATCACCCTCGCTGTCAGTCTTTGCCTGTTTGCTGTCTGGCTCGTCTCCACTTTGAGACTGTTTCCGCTTGCGTCCTCCTTCGCTGTCCGATCGCCCTCCTGACCGGTTTCGGAAACCTCTCCTCTTGGGCTACAGGTGGAAGCAAATAACCAGATCAGCCAGCCCCACGCCCCAAAAGTTCAAGCATTCCACCCATCTGCTGCAGGCCCTAGAACAGTCAAGCCCAGATGACCCCACATACTTTTATCCAGCTACAAAAGGATTTGCTGGCAGACTTAAAGCCAGGTTGAACAAATCCATTAAGGATCCCCACCAACCTCCTGAAGGGATTCAGGACGGGGACTCTGCCCTGTTTGGGACACCTGAGATTACTCAGCAGGGGAACGGACCTGAGCTCCTCCAGAAGGCTCAGCTCCACAGACTGACGGCCAAGCCGACCTCCCGAGGCAGGAAAGCAAACTGCCTGGGCTCTCACAGCAAAACCCAGGATGGCGACGACTTACCGTGAGCGTGTTCATGTGCCAGGGCACCGCACCCATCCTGTCTCTGTTTCGCTGCCGCCCCATTCCGTAGGGCACGTTACCGTACCGTCCCATTCCCATGCCCGACATCCCCATCATGCCATAGTCATAGTCTCCATAGTCCCCGTAGTCTCCGTAGTCACCGTAATCCCCATAATCCCCGTAGTCACCGTAATCTCCATAATCTCCATAGTCCCCGTAGTCCCCATAGTCAGGGACCAGGGCTTGGGAGAAGAGAGAGGGGAGCCTGTTGGGGCCGGCACCCCCCATCCCACGCCCACCCATGTAGTTCAACTCATTCCAGCGAGCGGAGAGGCGCTCCGAGCTCGAGGAGGGCATGAAGTGGTCAGAGCGGTTGAAAGTGTTGAGGCGCCCCCGGTTCTGCACGCGGTTTTGGCTCCGTCCTCGGATGAGGCCGTAGTTGTTGCCCCGGTTGCGAGACTGATCCCTGCGGCCGTCGAACTGGCTCCCGAAGGAATCGCTGCGATCGGTGCCGACCTCGCCGTAGTCGTAGCCGGACCGGTACATGTCGCGGTCGTTCATGGAGGACCTCGAGTCGTACGATTCAAAAGACTCGAATCTGAAGGAGCTGCACGGTGAGGAGAGCCGTCAGCAGCAGGAATAAAACTGTGTATCATACAGAGTTTGCATCTGTTTGTATCAAAACCCAAGCGTTCTCGACTAAAAAACACTTTTAAAATCCTGATCCCTTTCTGTACCCACCACCTTTTCTTTAACCTTAGGAAAATTAGTATCAAAACGCTGTGTTTTTGGCACAAGCACCTGAACAGGAACTTGAATCTATGATTCTATGATCTGAACAGAAACCCTTTGGAGGGGTCACAACCTCACCAGTTTTATAGCAGAACACCAAACCTCCCCGAGCTTGGCTTTCCCAGCTGAAAAGCAGATCCCAAAAGCCTCCCCGCTGCAGCCTGCATGAAGTAAAAGCAAAAAACACTGCTTCCCAACAGCAGGGTCAGCGATTCAGACCCGAAAGAGAACATCCTGCCTGCTAGAAGATCTCAGCCGGAGGAAAAGGGGAACATCAAAACAACCAGCCACCGGCACTGACTAAAGCACAGACTCTGGCCTGAGAGGGAAACCCTGTAAAAAGCAACAAAAACCTAACTCTGGTATATTAAAAAAAAAAAAAAAAAAAAAAAAAAAAAAAAGGCAAACTGCAGCAGGGTTTTGTCCAACACAGATCACAGATGTATCTTTAATACCATGGAAAACCCGAAAGGAAACCAAGCAGCCCCTTAAGGCAAAAACTCAGAGTTGTTCCTCCATGTGTGGAATTTACTCAGATAAGCCCCTCAGCTGTCCAAAGTAACATCAAACGGCAAAAAAAAAAGGTGAAGCTTGGCTGATTCAGCAGCTCTTGCCAGGATCTGCATTATCATTTGAGCGGTAACATGAGCACTGAAATTAAATGACTCTACAGGCTGGCATGGTTTAACCCAGTGGAAAGAAAAGCTCACTGAGGGAAGACCGATACAGATGAAAAGGTGCTTCTAGCTTTTTAAGTTTCTTGAAATCAAAAAGCTTTCTGCAAAATCTGTTAACCAAATCCACCACAGAGGTCGCTTTTAGTGCCTGATATATACGTCAGGTTCGATACTCTTAATATTTAATGTATTAAAAATATTTTTATATATAAAGGGGTGTGCACGTGCACACACACATCAGGACTGGTTAAAAAATAAGCGATTAATCTTGTTCACCCTGAAACAAACACTGAATCACGCTGTGCAACCAGAACAGCTTAACCTGACGTCGCAGTGATTTGAGGCCACTCTTTTACCGTTAAAAAACGAGAAGAAATTGAGCAGTCACCTCTCCTGGTCTTCCATTCCTTCCCCCGTGCCGCCGCTGCCCTCCTTTGACAGCATATCCAAGCGCTGGTTTATTTTGGCTATGATGGAATCCGAGTTCTCGTTCGCCACGCTCTCGCTGCTGTATGAAGCGACAGGCATGGCAGAGCCGACATCAGCGTTCATGCTCATCTCCGAGGTTTTGGGAGTTTCCCAAGTGCTGGAGGTAGCAGCAGCGGCGTAGTTGTACGTGGCTGCCGTGTTGGCGGCAGTGGTTTGGGTGTTGTAGTAGTCATAGCCTTCGTAGCCTGGCAGAAAGGGGAAAAAATTCAGCATTAATGCAGGGTCATACAGCCAAGGGAGTCAGGGAGAAGAGCTGAGATGCTAACGGACACTACTGGGCAAGGCTGCGGCTGAGCTTTGCTCCTTTAAAGGAAATCTGGCTTCTTAAAGCGAGAAATATCAGAGGTTTCTCAATGCTAAAAGCTAACAGATCTCCTTTGGGCACGTCTAACCAAGGAAACGGAGCGCTGCTGGTTCCGTTTGTGATTTAGGAATGAGCTCAGTGGATGCTGTGGGACTTTGTCAGCCTGAGGCAGCTACACCACAGTCCCAAAACCCGAAGAGGACCAGAGCACCACACACCCAGCAAACAAAGAACCACAGGGACAGAAAAAATCGATCAGGAAAAAAAAAATAAAAAAAAGATAAAGGAATCAGAGCAGTGAAGAGCACAAAGCCAGCCACCACAGGAAAAAGCACCCTAAGGCCGGAGGTCGCCCCACGGGACGTGCTGGGGTTCCCGACAGCACCAGTCACCCCCCGCTCGCCACCTCCTGAGCCCTGAGCTAAGAGCAAGCTTCCTCCAACAGCTCTGCAGTCGCCGCTTCTGACCTGGCGCCCCCTTGGCTATGTCAGTCCTAGGGCTCTCGTAATGCGACTGCCAAGTCTGCCAGGAAGATCCCTCATAATTCTCCTTGGCCGCCATGCCTACAATAAAATTGACAACGGTTAAGGCCGACGGCGCGCTGCTGCCTCGCTCTTTCCTTGTGCTCCCCCCCAGCTGCCTGGCTTTTGGTCATAGGGAGATTGTGAGCCCGCTGGAGCAGGGACTGCCCTCGGGCCTTGGCTGGGGCTCCTGGGCTTCCCAGAAAGAGAAACAATGGAAGAAAAACTTTTTCAGCAATCGAAGTTTTTCAGCAATGATTTGGGCTGGGAGGTTGGAGTCGACAGCCCTGCTGTGCAGTATTTGATTTTACCGATTATTTGTTCCTCGCGGGGTTATTTCATAGAAGTATCTTGGGCTTTTGCTTTCCCTGGGGAAGGCATGAACAGCTCAGAACAGCCAATCCAAATTTGGGCCAATTAATTAAACACTGCTCTGAGAGGAAACACTTCCTAGCAAAATGCAAATCATGTTTAATTCAGGAGGCGGTAGCCTGAGTGCAGACACCATCGAGATGCCAGAACTTCAAGGGCAAGCCTCGGATTTTGAGGGGGGAAAAAAAATAATAAAAAGTGGTATTACTGAGATCAGAGGTAACACGTCTGCCTGTTTGAGATCAAAAGAGAAACGGAGACACGAAACAAATGAATTTGTTATCTGCGAGGCAATTTGCCTGCTTTAAGAAAGAGATGGCTCTCCATCATCAGGACGGAGATTCTCCTCCACAAAATAAAAAGCCACACGCGATCGCGGCAAAGAAATCAACGGGGGCTCCTCACGAGAACCAAACGGCCCCGAGCCCATTTTCCCTTCACTAGAGGAAAAGTCCTGCACTCCTCAGGAGCGGGGAAAGCAGCTCCATGTGGCGTGACTGACTCGAGACCAAGCAGGGCACCGAGGAGCTGTGCACGTACCTTGCCAACTTGTCGCGTTCGTCGCGTAGGTACCTGAGAGAAAAGAGACGGGGTCAGCTCCGAAAGCCCTTCAGCAGCTACAAGGTGAGGGACGCAGCAAACGTTACGCTGGTAAAAATTGCTTTTCAGAATAGGTGAGGAAGAAGCTGGGACTTCCAGCAGCTACTTATGAGAATGAAATGGAAAACAGACACTTTTTTTTTTTTTAAATATTTGCACTTGAAAACACTCAAATGACCCCAAAAAACAACCCATGCTCAAGTAAAACACCTGGGGTGCCTGTGCAGAGTTCACACGGCAGCATTTTGGTGCTGAGGCACTGTTTGGGGGCACACAGCAGACCACAACTGCCTGCAATTCCTTTTCCTCCCCGAGCTCCAAGCTGGCAGCAGGGCTGCCCCCACTCCTCTACCCCCGAGCCGTCACCACTCCAAAACCCGGCCGCGATTTGGCTTTGGGAGTTTCGGTTTTGGAACATGCTCAGCAGAACACACCAGAAATTTACCTTGGGTGTTGCTGGCCCCCGTACTCCAGGTGCCATAACCTGCAAGAAAAAACAAAACAGAGCTATCAGAAGGTTCAGGTGCTTTCTCCAGCCGTCCCCCGCAGTTACCACCGTTCCACTTTCTTCCCTTAATTGCTCCAAAATCAAGGATGTTTTTAATTACACCCGTACTTGTGCTTTTGCCAGCGGGGAAATGTGCCCAAAGCCTGACTGAAACTGTATTTGCAATTAATTCTGTTTGAAAACATCTCGTTGACCCTTGGGTCGATGATACACTGAGAACTAACGAAAATGATAAAAACCAAATGAACCACAAACAGGTGGAGTTTTAGAAGAGAAATCTGCTCTGAAAGGTGCTCGGTGCAGCCACGGCGTGAGGCTACGTGAGAGCTTCATCTGCCCAAGACCTGACCCTGCTCACCACGATCTACAGAACGCGTGCCCCCTTCTAAAGGCTTTTTTGGGCTGTTGGAGCAGTGGAATTCCTCGAAGCTCGGGAGAAGGGGAGTGTAAAGCACCGCAACCGTGGCAGAAATGAGTGCTGCTGTATTTAAACCATCACAGAAACCACCAGGTGGCGAGCACATAGGGAGCAAAGGCAAATGACCACATTTTCTAAGGGGAATCTCAGCACTGACGGGTTTCCTTCCATGCTTTTGGAGGCCGAGCTGTGCCCTGCTCAGTTTTGGGGCAGCTAGGTCACAATTCGTTCCTCCATCCCCCTACACGAATGGCCTGCCGAGCACACGCAGACAAAAGCAGGAGAAACAAAGCCAGTGTGGGGAGGCTGCGAGGTTTTTTGATGAAGCCTCGGCTCTGCTGTGCCTGCGGTGCACAGGAAACGGAGGCTGCTCGGCCCGAAACGCACCAAAAATGGTTTCACTTCTTTCTCTGCTGAAACGCAGGCTCCTTGTGGGCTGCACCCCTGGGTTATAAAGAAAAAAGCCGCCCAGTTTTGGGTGACATCTGTGTCCCGTGGCGGCTGTTCACAAAGGTATTGCCACGGGGGCGATGCTCTTTCAAGGATAAAGGGATCTGGGTTAAGCAGGGACCTCAATGCTTCCCATCCAGTCTTTGACAGCAATTAAGAACACGGTAATTAATTGGTCGCCATCTAATTCCAAAACCAACATTTCCCAAAGAAAAAGCCCCACATAAAGTGTTTGGGTATCAGCGACTCGATACCAACATCTGCATCCCTCCCCTGCCGCACATAAATATTCCTGTTTGAGGGAAGATTCCAGCTCCTAGACAGCTCACTAGTTTCAAGAAACCCCAAAAAAGAGCAAAATTCCTTCTCCAGAGAAACTTCAGTGCCATTTATTCAGATTGAGTTGTTGAAAGGGAAAAAGCAACGCTTGCAGAGGATGATCCAGCTGCCCCAGTCACAGCGCCTCCCTTAAGAAGTGGTGGACTGCATCCTAAAAGCGTGATTTGCTGAAGAGTGGCAAGTAAAAACACATGCAGAACGGGCACCACTGGTGAGTTCCTTCTAAAACGCCGCTGTGGAGCCACCAAAAAGCGCTCCCAGTGGACCTGCATGTTTTTGAAGGTGAGCAGAGTAAGCAGAGTGTGATTTCGCAAGAAAAGGACCAGGATATGGGGCTACCCAGGTCCCAGAGCTGCAAAAAATGACTGGATGTGGGGTCTGCATGACCTTAAAAGGGACCCAGAACAACTGAGGAAGCAATCAGGTGCTAAACTTCCACTGGCACAACTTCCTTTCTCCTTCCACCTCTGTCTGCATCATTTTGAAGCTTGACGAGACACCAAAAACTGGTGGAGGCAGGGAAACGGAACCCAGCAGGCCACTGCTAGGCACCAGAAGGAAGAAGGCTTCTTTTTACAAGCAGGGCTTCAGGCAGTGGCCAAAAACTCCTCGAAGTGTCAGCATCCTGCCAGCAATCTCAGTGTTTCGGGGCTCACCCGCTGCCTTCTGACCATCTCCATGTTTTGGGGCTCACCTGCCCCCTTCCACCCCACTGATCTCTGCGTTTTGGGGCTCACCTGCTGCCTTCTGACCATCTCCACGTCACCTGCCACCTTCTGCCCCACACTTTGGGTCACCAATCTCCACATTTCGGGGCTCGCCCGCTGCCTCTAACCCCCATTTCACGCAGGCTGCTGTAGGGCACGAAGCGCCGTGGCGTGTCCCAGCCCAATGCCACCCCAAATACCGGAGCGCGACGCCCCCACGCCGAGCAGCGGGGGCTGTTTGTGTGGGTGTCCCCCCATCCAAGTCGGTGACTGGGGGGGGGGGGGGGGCGCTGAGCACAGCCACACCGAGAGGCCCCCCCCCAAAAAACACGGGACTGGCTGGATGCCCCTGGTGGGGTGGGGGGTAAAAGGAAAGGGTAAAAAGGGGGGGGGGAGGAAATAGGATACAAGTGGTAGGGTATGGTAGGGTAAAAAGAGGGGGTATGCGGGGAAGGGCAGACGGATGGGGGCAAAAAGGGGGAGGGCAGGAGGGGGAGGGGGGCAAGAGGGGGGTGGTTTAAGGGGGGGGGAGGGGGACGCCGGGCGCCAGGGGCAGGGGGCGGGGCCGCGCGGCCGCCATTTTGTGGCGTCTTCAGAAATGGCCCGGCTCCATTTCCGCCAACCGGACAGGAACCGGGAGGACGACCGGGAAAAGGAGAGGATGAGGGGTAGCACCGGACACCCCCCCCCCCCTCCGCCGTCATGTCCCTCCTCCTCCCCCCCCAGGCCTCTCCCTCCCCCCTGGGGCCGCCCCCGCCTCCCGGCGCCTCACAGCTGCGCCCGCCAATCAGCGGGCTCGCTCCGCTGAACGACGCGCCGCTCGGCCAATAGGCTGCGGCGCCCCCTCACGGGAGGCGGGCCCAACATCTCCCTGCCCCGAAGCGGCCGCTGAAGCCGCCGCCAAACGCCCGAGCCCGGCCGGGGAGGCGGCGGGACGGCCGGGGAGGCGCCGCGGACCGGGGCCGGCCCCGCACTTACCGCCGTAGCCCTGCTCCATGGCGGCCGCCCTCCGCCCGCGGCACCGCTCCGCCTCCCGGGCGCTCAGTGCGCAGCCGCGCGGCGCCCGCCTCCCATTGGGCCCCGCCGGCCCCTTCGGCCCGCCCACGAAGCGCTGCTATTGGCCGCCATCCGCGTCGGCCGCCATTGGCTGAGCTCGCCCCGAGGCCCTGATCCCATTGGAGCGCGCGGCCCGCCCCTCGCCGGCTTCCCCGCGATCCGATTGGTGGAGGCGCCTCCTGCGGTCCCGCCCCTTCGGCCCTTCTGTGGTCACGCCTCTCCGCTGTCAATCACAGCCGGACCCGATTCTGAGTGGGCAGCGGCGCGGGGCGCATTGTGGGGGCCGGAGCAGAGCGGTCGCCATGGAGACGGGGCCTGGTCCCGCTCTGCGAGCCTGACCCCCGGCCCCTGACCTCTTCTTGACCTTTACCAGTGACCCCGGCCCCAAATGAGACCCCCCAAGGCGTCCCCATTGACTCCCCAGTCAGTAGGATTGGAAAGGACGAATGTTTATTCAGCGCAGGGCAGAGCGGGGGATAGTCCCACCAAAGACGTGCGCACCCGACGTGGCAACTTGCCTTGCTTATCTGCAGCAAAGAGTTACATGGGCCTGAAGTTTCACAACGCGCCCGTACATATTCATAGCCTGTCCCCGCTTCGTCTTAAAATTAGTCCCAAGCAGTCATTTCCGGAAACTCCTCCCATTTGCACCAGGGAGGTGGTCAGTGAGAGAGGGAGTTAGGAGAATACAATAATTTACTACCTTTTTAGAAATGAATGCACTAACTATATAGAAATGGGGGGACAGAGAGAGGCAGTTAGGAGACTCTTATCAAGCACAGATAAGAGCGCTGATGGCATTAAGCTAGGATGCTGCTCAGCGTCTTTGCTAGCCGTGGTACATTGTGCAAATTACCTAAAGCAAGAAGCTTTTTTTAGGATCTTTGAGAGTATAGCCATCTATGTAGTAGTAGGTGCCTTTTCTGCATGCAGCTCTTCTTCAAGTGAGTAATATTTACAGCATGCTTATGGATAGGAAGATGATGTTATTTTGCAGTGACGAGGAAGAGTCACCAACCTTCATCCCCACGACCCCTGATGACGACCACCAGGAGACACTGCGCAAGCGCAGATGGGAGGAGTTTCCAGCAATGACTGCTTGGGACTAATTTTAAGACGAAGTGGGGACAGACTGTGAATATGTACAGGTGCGTTGTGGAACTTCAGGCCTAGTAACTCTTTGCTGCAGATAAGCAAGGCAAGTTGCCGCATGAGGTGCGCATGACCTTGGTGGTGTGAGGAAAATCTCACATAACTTTCTTTAGACAGAATCTTCTGTGAAGCTATTTTATTCGCGATTGCAAGGGCGGGCATCCTGTCAATCAGGAGCGCATTTTAGTAGACAAATCCTAACCTTTTATGCCCTATTACCCGACACCTGATCACCTCCCCTGTTTCCTCATTGGCAGAGTACTACAGGTTCACAAGCTGCTCGACCCTCCTCTATACCATATATGTACCATTTGTCTTGTTTTCAACCCTTGAATTTCTCCCTTCTTGTGTGTTGAGGTCTTGTGATCTTTGTTTTACTGTTCTCATACTGCTCATCCTGTTTGTCTCAAGCTTGCAACTTATTTTGGAACAGCGAGGCCTTCTACCGTCCACTCATCTACTTAGCATTTCTCCTTGTTATGACTACACAACTACCTTGCAATACAGAAAATTAGTTCTGTACTGCAAAAACACAACTTTGTTTCTCACAGGGGGACTACCCCCGTGCCGCCCAGCGCTGAATAAACATACCTACTTTACAATCTTATGGATTGTGGAGTCCGTTTTCCACAAGCCACCGCCCCTGAGCCATTCCCCACCACACCACCTAAAACCCTTACAGCTGCCCACTACGGTAGAGGCTGGAATGCTCAGCACACCATGCAAAGGATTCCACGGCCCTGCACGTGGTGTTGGAGTTTTAATGGAATGCAGGCGTTTGAAGGTTTTGTGCCTCTCCCTGGCTTAGGAGAGGCAGCAGCACAGTGCCCGCCGGCACCAGCTCGATGTCAGCTGCTCCCTTGGACGTGTCAGGATGAAGATGGTCTGAGTGGCCAGAGACACAACACTTTTCTCCTCGTCATTCTGCAAGGGCCGGAGGACTGCAATGGAGAGAAACAGAGCAGAAATTAAACCCACCTGTCTGCAGAGACTGCGGGTAGAGCCTGCCACCCCTCCACCCGTCACTTCCCGCAAAGACACAGAGGGACCAAGGGGTTAGAGTCAGAGAATCATTAACTATCCTGTGTTGGAAGGGATCACTGAGCTCAACTCCTGACTGCACACTGGACGGCACAGGACTTAACACCACATATCCAACAGCTTTGTCCAAATGCTTCTTGAACACCCGCGAGCTCGGGCACCATGCCTGCTTGCCTGGGGAGCCTGCTTCAGTGCCCAACCACCCTCTCAGGGAGGAACTTTTCCCCAAAATCTGATCTGAACATCCCCTGACCCGGCTTTAAGCCACTCCCTCGCCTCCTATCACCGGTCGCCTGAGAGGAGAGCTCGGTGCCTCCCTCTCTGCTCCCCGTCACAAGGAAGTTGTAGACAGATGTGTTTTGCTGTTAACATACTCCAGAAAAGCCCTTTTTCTTAGCCAGCGCAGTACTGGCCAGCTTCAACCCCAGCCGAGCTTTTGGCCATACAAACTTTCTCCCTTCCCTCTGAGAAAGGTGAATGCCCCCTGCCCCACCGGTCGTGGACCCACACCCCGCTGCCCTCACTCACTGCTGCAGATTTCATGGATCTTCATCTCGCTCTGGTCCTTGCAGTGCTGCGCGGCAAGACCTAGGCACAAAGCTGCTGTCAGAAGCCTGCAAGGCTGCCCCCAGGCCCACTTGCATGGGAACCCAGTCCCGGGGGGGACTCTAGGGACACTGGGGCTGCTAAAGGCTGACAAAAGAGGGACCCCGGGGGCTGTGGCTCACCGATGAACCTGATGGCTGCCTCCCGCAAGGCGACCTGAGTGTGCTGCAGGTACGGCAGGCTCTGCTGCAGGTATTTCTCCACCTTTCCCTTGTCCTGCACGAGCTGGAGAGAGCGCAGGGTTACAGGGCTTGCAGACCGTGCCGGGCTGGACAGGCCACCCCCTCCTGCCAACACCCCCCCTTCCCCTCAGGCCATTCCCATCTCCCAGCCACGAGCCCTGTGGGGCTGGGGTTTTGAGGTATGGAGAGAGCTGTTGTCTTTACCAAGTACTCTGCGATCCTCCAGGTCTGCTCTGTCTGCGCCAGGTGCTTGAGTTTTCCCTGCTTCAGGAAGTCTGCAGCGGTGACAAGGGCTTCCAGGGAGGCCTGCAGAGCAGCAGAGGCTGAGAGATGGCACCAGAGCCCAGGGAAGGGGACCTGGCAACGCCCACCTCTTGGCAGGGCTGCAGGCCTTTCCCAGCCCCCGGTGGGATAATGCAGTGGGGGGTGAGTGTGAACTGCGTTTGGCATAAGGAAGGAGGGGAGCTGTGCCCCCATTCTCCATGACACAGGCAGCTGCACCCCGAAGGGACACACATGCCAAGTGCCCGATTACCTTCAGCCCTGGCCCCGGACACCCAGGCAACCCCTGTGGTGTCAGTCTGCTAGTCCCTCTAGTCAGGTATGCCATACGCACCTTGGCCACGCTCTGGGTCTGGTCACTCAGGTGAAAAAAGAGTGGGAGCAGGCCCCTCTGCACGACCTTCTTCAGCTGCCTCTTGTGGTACCACAACGCAGCCTGCATCACTTTGTTGTAGAGGCAGATGGAGAGCTCTTGCAGCTGGCTGCACTCCTGGTAGGGAGGAAGAGAGGAAGACTTCAGCAAGAGCTGCTCCCTGCCCGCGGTGAGCAGGGGCGTTAGGGTGGCTGACGTGAACGGAGGTGCTACAGAATCAGAGTGTGCTCAGAGGAGCTGTGGCCAGATCTGTAGCCACACTGAAAGGACGCAGCCCCACTAGAGGGAACGTAAGAGGCCTCCTTCACGGGGGGCAGCTGTCATGAGAGTGCCCATCTGTGGGCAGGTCCTGCAGCAGCCTTACATCGTTAAACAGTGGCAGGATGTCCCCAGCCACTTGCAGAGCGATGGAGCTGGCCTGCTTCCTCTTCACGTGATCCATCACGTTTCCGATGAGAAGCAGGGCCTTCATCTTGGTGTCAGCCCTGGCAACGTGCAGGCCCTGAATGATGCCTGGCAGCAGCACGGGAAGTTTTCTTGCCTGGAGGAAGGACAGAGTTTCCAGTTGGTGAAACGATGAAAGGCCACCCTGGCCAGAAGCCTGTGGTGCCAGAGCACCAGGCTGCCATCTTGCTCGCGCAGAGGCAGCACGAGAGTCGCACCGGGCAGCAGCCAGCAGACAGGCGATGGCCATGGGCAGCCCTTGCGTATGTGAGGGGAGCAAGGGTAGGAAAAGGAGGGCAGCTGAGCAAAGACTCTGTGCCCCCTTTTCGGACCCGCTCCAAAAGGTACACGGCATGCATGGAAAGCTCCCCAGAGAGCCGCTGGGCCCCTCCATGGCCAGCTCATTTCTTGGCCATTTCTTCTGCGCCACAGAGCTGCGGGCAGAGCAGAGCCCTCCCAGCTGGCCGGGAGCAGGCCATGATACCTTCAGGACAAAGGCCCACCGGCCTTCACAGTAGTGTGCCCTGCTCACCGTGACAGGTGTCTCTGACGCTGGGAGGAGAGCGCTGAGCACCACCGAGTACGTCACTCGGTTGGGATGCTTCAAGAGCCTCTGGAGGTGGCGCAGGGCCTCCGAGTCGTCTTCTCCAACATCTGGGTGGGCCAGCAGCTGAAAGGAACACAGCATTGAGAGACTGTCGGAGCCTGCAGGGCTGCAGGCAGCTCCTGGCTCTCCCGGTGCCTCAGGCCAGGGGCAGCTGTGGCTGTGGAGGGCCGCAGGGCCCCTGAGTGCCCTGTGCCTGGCAGCACCCAGCAGCCTTTCTTTGCCTGCTCCTCCCGCACGGACGTCCTGAAGGAGCTGCCAGTTTGGGGGTAGATGGGCAGAGGCACACACACGGCCCTGAAGAGGAGCAAGGCCTCGTCCAGTAACTCACCGCCAAGTGAGGGATGCAGTTGTCCTCTGGGATGAAGCCCGGGAGCCCGCGCAGCTTCTGCTCCTGGAGCACGCCAAGTGTCTCCCTCAGGACATTCTCCATCGTCTGCTTCTGGGAGAACATGGTTTCCCACATGGCCAGGGCAGCGCTGCAAGGACGGAGCACTCAGTCAGCAGGGCACACTCCGCCCCAGCGCCGTGGCCTGCACAGGCCCTGCAGGCCCCAGGCTGTCCTGCAGCCCTGGCCCTGCCTGCCCCCCTCCCTTGGGGTGCCCTGGGAGCCTTGTCCAGGCAAGCAGGAGAGGGCAGAGATGACGTTCCCTGTGGTGGCAGGGATCCTGGCTGGCTTGCTCAGCTCTGGCTGCCCTGGCTGTGGCCAAGGAACCACGGCTGGAAAGCATGGCGGCGTGGAGGGCCCTGCTCTGGAAACGCAGAGCAGGGCCCTGGAGTTTGCTGTGGATGTGTCAGGCGGAAAGTCTCCTGTCCCCTCCCCTCCCATACAAGAAGATCTGAAGGTTGGCATGCCTGTCAGATGATGGCCACATCTGCAGCAGGGTGCTGGCCACCTCCCTTGGCCGCTGGTTGGCCAGATAGAGGATGAGGTTGTCCAGGCTGCGCCGGGCTGATGCCGTGTTGATGCACTCCACGTGTCTGTAGATGCACCTCACGATCTCTGGCACCTGGAGAGGCAAAAGTGGAGTGCAGACGTACTTTCAGCCACTACTCACACAACTGCCCTTCCCATGGCTCTGGGATGGCTTCCAGGGATTGCCTGCGGTGCCTGAGAGGGCTGGACGTGGGAGGGAGGAAGCGGGGCCTGACATGGGCTAACGGGCAGGGCAATCCAACTGCAGGCCACTTACGTCGGTCAGCCAGGAGGCAGGGTCTTCGATGGCCATGTCCAGCACACCGCTGACCTCCTGCTTGTCGTATGTGTTGGAGTCTCTCAGGGCTTCAATGACCTTGAGGATGACGTCTGTCCTCTGAGACTGCTGGAGGTATTTTCCAAAGTTCTGCAAGGAGGAAGGGACGTAAGACACGTTGCAGCAAGTGCCCCGATGGTGCTGCAGAACTGAGCGGTGAGAGCAGCTCTGGAGACAGATGCCTGAGCGTGCTGGCAGCAGTGCCCACGGGAAAGCAGGAAGCAGGGGCTGCAGTCCCTGCGTGGTGGGGGCTGAGAAGAGCCCTCGGGGTGAGGGACCAGGGTTGGAGGCACGGGCCCAGGGTGCTGGCCCTGGAGATATGCGGGGCTTGCTGGTGGCCAGGAGGGCCAGGAGAAACTGCTGCTGGGAGGCCTATGGAAAGGCCCTACTCAGGGACAGCAGGACCGCGCGGGCCAGAACAGCGAGGCCACACCAGCCGCACTGATGCTGGAGCCCTGTGTTCCCACAAGTCTCCTGCTGCTGCTGGGACAAGTGTGCCAGGAAGGGAGGAACTCATTACCGTGGCAATGTCCGTGGCAGTGGGTAAAGGAAGCCTCGGTATGGCCTCAGCTTTCCCCTGAGGCTGTTGACTAGCTTCTGGCTGCTGTTCTTCCTAAACACGGCAGCGGAGGGGGACAAAAAGAAGAAGATTCACAAGGACAAGCCACTTTTGTTAGGAGGCTTACCAAGTGGTGAAAAGAGCTTTTGAGTAGGAATGGCTGAGGAGGGCGGAGATGCTGCAGAGCCCAGGGAGGCAGTGTTGGACAGAGATGGAAAGCAAAGGCAGACAGCTGATGGGAGCAACGGAGATGGCAAGAGAGCAAGGGCTGACGTGTGCCTCAGGGGTACACATGCAAATGCTCCCAGCCTGGGACACGCAAAGGAACGAGAGCCCTGCGTGCAAATCGCACAACTAAAACGCTATTGGCCTAACTGAGGTGTGGGGGGTGGCTCGAAGGGCTGGAGCGCTGTAGTGCAGGGATACGAGGGGGACATACAGGGATCCTCTCTCTAGGAAGACCGCTCTAGAGGTCTCCACAAGAGCGCTCCATGGCACTACTTAGGAGAAGAAGCAAGTGCCTCAGGCAGTGCCTGTGTCTGGAGGGGAAGGAAGCCCAACACAGCTTCTCTTACTGTTTTTCTGGATGAATTGGTAGAGGTAATAAAGAGCATCCAAAGCCTCCCATCGTATCTGCCTGTTCTCGCAAGTGTGGCAAAGGAGGAGCCATCCCACCAACTGTCCCAGGAGCGGCACATTGCACTCAGTGTATCCTCCATCAGCGCTGTGGTCCTGGGCGAGAGAGAGAGGAGGGAAGTGCTGTGGGAGGCAGCTGGGGCCAAAGTCCTGGAGCCAAGAGTGTGCCCAGGGCTGGCTCCCAGGTGAGTCAGCAGCCTTGGCCATGCCTGCTCTCCCACCGTGCTCCCTGGGCGCTTGAGGCCTGCACAGGACGGGGGGCAGAGCTGGCTCCCAAGAGTGCTCTCAGGGACTGGGAACATCCCCCACTCGGGGTCCATGGGCAAAGGAGGGCTGAAGGCCCTTGCTTCAGGGCTGAGCCCTAGCTGAGGGTCTGTAGCCGGGCTTGCCTCGGCAGCACCCCTGAGCTGCAGGCTGATGTGGTCTGCGGGGAAGGGGAGGTGGGCTGGCTGGAGGGGTGCGTGGCTCCTTACCTCCGGTGAGAAGCGTGTGGCTAGCCAGCCTGGTCAGCTTCGCGGCCCTCCCCACGGCCCTCTCGCAAATAGCTTCGCTGTCGGAGTTGGCAAAGGGCAGCAGAATCTGTGAGGGGAGAAAGTGCTGGTCTGCCCTGGGAGCTGATGCCCGCTAAAGCAGGAGCATCAGTGCTGGGCTCCCGCAGCACTCCGATCTCGGGAGGAAAGCACCACGGACAGGGAGGCAGGTGGACAGCAGCAGCACCAGTGGTGACCAGTGCAGTGCCTGGGAAGAGGGGTCCAATTCCTGCCGCTGTGTAGACGCAAAGGAAGCCCAGGAGTGCCATGGGCAAGGCTTTTCTCCGACACAGGAGGAGTCTGTGGAGGGGAAAGGTCTGCAGCCAGGGGATACGGGGCTGCCAGAAGACCTCAGTGGGCAGCCCCCGGTTCCCCCAAGGGAGGCGGGCACCCTTCCTGCCCTGTGCTGCCTGTGCATTGGCACTGAAGTAGGGTCTGTCCGTTCCGCAGTGGATGCTGAATTCCCTCCGGGTGAGGAAGCGCCCCTGGGAACACTGCTCTTGGCAAGTGGCAGACCTGCAAGATGTCCTGCAGCTCACTGAAGCCGGAGAGGGGAGAATTTCTGATGAAGAGCCTCAGCATGCGGTCCATGGCGTCCAGGGTCTGCAAGGACAACAAAGGGGTGGCAGTGGATCTCCAGTCCCTCTCCCTCTGCCAGGATCTGCACAGATCTCAGCACAGAGCAGCCAGGGATCAACCCAGAGGGATGGGTGCTCCAAGAGCTCTCCCAGAGCATACCCTCAAGTAGTAGATGCGGCTCTGGCACTCCAAATACTCGTGTGAGGGCAGCAAGAAGACACTGCTGAAACAGGTGAGCAGGATGCTCTTCTTCTTGCCCTCCAGCACTGAGTTGACATAGCTGCAAAGAAAGCAAGGGGCCTCGTTGTCACGGTGCTGGGAGCAGGGCCTCAGGGCCTCAGGGAAGAGGACGCAGCACTGCGGGGCCTCGGTCCCTGCCATGGGGACTGCCTTCCACCTTCCAGAAGCCCCGAGGCTTGGCGAGCAGCGGCCCCGCGGCTGGCACTGCCAGGCTGCTGCCTAGACAGGGGAAGCCTGGAAGCCAGGCCCAGGGCCAGAGCAGGGGCTGGGCACGTACCTCAAGTGGCCAAGTGCAAGCATGGCTTGCTGCTGCACCGCTGTGTGCAGAACGTCCAAGGGCTCCTCTTCCAGCAGCACCTGCAGAGCACAACCGGGATGGCACCGGGCATCGGGCGGCACAGCTCGGCAGCGCCAGCAGAGCTGGTCCAGGTCAGAAGGGCCGGTGGAGCCCCAGTGCCCCCAGCCAGCTGTGGCACCCAGAGGGCCGCCCTGCCACCTCCCTGCTGCTGAGCTCTCTGCTGGCGGGGCTTCTCAATGGCCCCAAGGCCGTCAGGGGCAGCTGAGTGTCCACGCAGCGCTTGCCCCCGCCAAAGCCCTCGAGAGTCCCGTCCCCACAGCCTGCCCTTGCACCCCTCCCAGAGCCACCAGGGGGTGTCCCATCACCTTAATATGCTCTGCCAGCTCGTATTTTTTACAGAAGGCATCAAGGCCGCACCACAGGTCGCAGTTTCTGGCACTTCTGCACACGCTGATGATGCTCCTTAGGAACTTCATCTTCAGGTCTTTATCCTGGCAGCCGGGTGGCTGAGAGACCAACGGGGAGTGTGAGAGGGGAGACCCATGGCCGGCAGCAGGACCAAAGCCTCGAGGGGCTCAGGGCTGTGCGGGGCTCCTGGAGGGCGGCAGCTCTGCCTCGCCAGCAGCCCGCCAGCATCCTGGCAGCAGAGCTGTGCAACCCTCAAGAGACACAGGCACAGCCACCATGGCAAGGCCACACCTACCTGTTGCGTGCTGCTGACGAAGGAAAGAATGCTGTACAAGCTCTCCTCTTCTTTCTTGTAGACAGCTAAGCTGCCAGCTTCTAAGAAGGCAGGAGAAGAAGGAGGGTTGTAGAGGGTGGCCAAAGGCAGGAGGGAGGAGAGGAAGGAGCTCTGGCCTCCCTCCAGCCCCGTGCTTGCTCCCCTGGCACAACCTCCCTGGGGGTGTCCGGGGGCTGGGCTGCCATGCTGGTCCTGACGCTGAGCAGGGTGTTCTTGCTGGCCCCCCCGCTCCCTAGCCCCAGCCCTGCTCCCCCTGACGGGAGCCCTCGCTCACCGTTCAACAGCAGCTCCATGACGTGCTCATGGTGTTCACTGGGAGCTGTGTTCTCCTGACGAGCCTCGGCCTCCACCCAGGCCAGCATGGGGCTACTGGGTGGTCGTCTCTCCTCCATACTACGGGCTGAGGGTAGAGAAGAGGCAATCTCACAGAAATGGCTCGGCGCTGTATGAAGACGCGGGCTATGCTCGGGGACTGCTCCGCAGCCTCGTGCTCCTGCCCTGTCCCGTCACAGCCGTGCCGGACACTGGGTGGCCGGGGCTGGCTGCTCTGGCTTTTATAGGCAGCAGTGGGGAGTGCCCAGATGATGTCACAAAGGGCCCTTCTGTGACCCGCTGCCGACTCAGGGAGGGCCGGGTGTCCCCTGCAGGGGCACAGGGGCAGCTTGGAGAGAGGGAGGTGGGGGAATCTCATCGAGTCGAGATAGAGCGCTGACGGCATTAAGCTCGGATGCTACTCAGTGTCTTTGCTAACCGTGGTGCGTGCCACCACGTGTGTGCCACCAAGACACACTGCGCAAGCGCAAATGGGAGGAGTTTCCGGAAATGACTGCTTGGGACTAATTTTAAGACGAAGCGGGGATAGGCTATGAATATGTACGGGCGCGTTGTGAAACTTCAGGCCTGTAATACACAATAAATGTTTGTTCATTGTCTTTTGTAAAAACAAGGACTTCTGTTTTGATTAAGGAGGTATTGGGGAGGCATTGGGGAGGCAAGGACAATCCCCAGACATGGACTGTGTATCTCGAAACAAGACACTGGAACTCATGATAAGGAAGCGGCAGACGGACAGAGAAACAAATGTAAGGACTATAAATCTCAAAATTGGACATTGGAATTCATTATAAAGATACAACAAACGGAAGAATTAGCAACAACCAGCTCTCGCAATTAAGAGACGTGCCAATTCAGCAGATTCCTGACCAAAGGTGAAAAGTACACTGTGAGGAAGACTCGGGGTCTTCCTCCCAAAGACCCCTGCCCACGTCCCAAAGACCCCTGCCCACAATTCTTGGGAGGCTCTATGCAGGCGCAAGGTGCCAAAAGGCTAATTAGCATGAGAAGCGAGGGAAGGCGGGGATAGGTAATGCATATGTATAGGCGCTTGTAGAATATTGATAGATTGATTGTATAAATTCAAGACTGCTTTCCGCTTTGGGTATGCACGATAGGTGGAGAGATCCCCCGTGCATCCAGCGCTGCAATAAAGAATATACCACTTAAAGGAATTTCAGCTTCGATCTTTGAATCACTCTGGCACCCCAGATGGGACTACCTCTCTGCCGGACCGCAGGACCCGCTGGGGACAGGACTCCCTAGGGTACCCCCGGGATTTCCCGGAGGGACTCCTCGACTCACCGGATCACTGCGGAGGCAGACAAGGACCCCATCATTGTAAGTGAGTATATTCTTTATTCTGGTTTGGTTTTCTGGTAGACCGGTCATCTGGGACTGTCCAGTAAGTCGGAAGGTGACTTCTGCAGGACAGTATTTGGTATATACTTTGTGGTTAGTACCACAAGTATATCTGGGGACCTTGAGGTCCATCTGTGTCTGGAACTGTCTGTAAGTCGGAAGGTGATCTTCTGCGAGGCAGTGTTTGGTATATACTTTGTGGTAAGCACCATAAGTATATTTGGGGACCTTAAGGAAAGAGCTCGTTTTAAGGTCCATCTGGAATTGTGTTGTTTATTTCGGTTTTCTGACTCATGGAGTATGGTATTTAACTCTGGTTATTGTTACTGTGATTTTGGCTATTTTTCTGGTGGTAATAGTAGGTTCGTGGCATTGTTATAAGAAAGATATCGTTATGGTGTTACACAGTTCGGTTTTCTGACTTATCGCATGTGGAATTTGACTCTGATTATTGTTATTGTGATTTTGGCAATATTGCTGGTAATAGTAGCTTTGTGACATCGCTACTGAAAGATATTGCGTGCCTGTAATTTTGTGAGTGATACGTTTTTGTGATACGCTTTTGTAAGTAACACGTGTATTCTGAAAGTGTAAACTGGAAAATGGGGGGGCAAGTAAGCAGTGAAATTCCTAAGAAAAGTGCGTTAGGATGTGTTTTGAGTCACTGGAAGGATATTGGAGGATCTGCCGGTGGAAGTGTGAACAGGAAAACATTGATAAAATATTGTAATCAATGGTGGCCGCTTTATAAGCTGGAATGTGGAGAAAAGTGGCCCCTAAATGGAACTTTAAACTCTAATGTTTTGCTACAGTTAATGTTGGTTTTGAGAAGGAGAATAGGATGAAATGTTGTATACTGACGTTGTTTCAGCATCTTGGTGGGAAAAGGTACGGAATTAAGTTGGCCCCTGACTGAGCCTTTGATGTTGGCATTAGAGAAGTACAGGCTGGAGAAAGATAAAGGAAGTGTTAAAAGGGTTGTTGAAAGTGTTAAAGGTGTTTGAAGTTGAATGAGCAGGGAAAGAGGATGTAGGAATGTTAACAGTTCTGCCTCGGCCTGGGGCTGAGACCTTAAAATCTTGGGTGTTAGCCCTCTGGGGCAAAGGGATCATGATGGGTCCCAGAGAGTTGTCACAGAAACAGAAAAGCAGTTAACTCTGAAAACAACCTGAGTTCATGTGTGAGCTCAGATTGCCGATGGGATCGCTCAGGGAACTGTGGACAATTGCATTTTCCTGACCGACCCCCACTAAGACCCTAATCATCCTGAAAATTATGAACGGTTAAGTAAATACTAGAATCTGGACGAATTGGGAATTGAGAATATGCTTCCAACAAGGTCTAAAAGAAACCCCTGTGGAATTTTTGGACCAACTCTGAAATGTAATGGGGAAGAAAGAAAAAACAAACAAACAAAAAAAAAACCGATTTGGACCTGGCTTCAGAGGACAAATTGACTAGCCTTTTTCTAGGGTAATCATCGGCCCCTGATTTCAACAGGTCTAATGGGGACCCGGGGAATCTACCCTAGCAGATCCTCCACTGATTATAATGAAGCTAGGAGAGGAATGGAAGTGAAATTTCTTATTGATATGGGGCAACGTACTCAGTTCTAAATCAAGCATTAATGCCTTTACGGAATGATTATGTTAACGTAAAAGGGTGTAACCGAAAAGGCTTATTTTTGTGAACCTTTGAAATACAAGTTGGGGAAATGTTATATATGGAGTGGTAATTCGTGTCGAGAAAATGGTTGATATTAACAAAGAAGGGTGATTCAGGAGACTCCATGCAGTCTGGGGTTTCTTGTTCTCCAGGTGGTTTCTTGTTCTCCAGCCATTAAGGCATGGATGTTTCTGGGTGTTTGCTGTTGTTGTTACATTCAAAGTTGTTTGACTAATTAAACAGTTGTTTTGAAAAGAACTGCTGTGGAGAGAAGGGTATTAGAGGGGAGCCTGCTTTTTAAAAAAAAAAAAAAAAAAAGGCAACACTATGAAGTTACATCAGTACAGAAGCAGGAAAAAGAAGTGAAGAGGAACAGGCTGGCAGAATGGGGACTGTTAAGTTATGGAACTCAAAGGATTGTTTGTTACCTATCCTGATTGTATGTATGTATAGGCATACTCGGGTTATTATGTAAAGCAATGTTCTGTATACATGTATTTAGAACGTTTGATGTTTGTGTGTGCGTGTTGGTGGAGCGTAGACTCCCTGCACACCCAGCGCTGTTTACTTGCCTTTTATATACCTTTTAGAAATATTTGTTTTATAAATATTACAAAATTCAGACCTCATTTATAACAGGAAACAAATGGGGATACATAGGTTTTTATATCTACCTGGATCTCCAAAATCTCTATTAGGTTGAGATCTGTTAGAACAATTAGAAGCAGAAATTATCTTCGAAAAAAGGAAAATGGAATTAAGGATAGGAGAAGAACAACTAATAAATGTGTTAAGCCTGGCACTAATACAAACCGACCCTAAAAGTGAAATACCCTTAGAGATCATAAATCAAGTATATCCAGGAGTTTGGGCCACTGAAGTCTCTGGAAGAGCTAAAAA